CAGGTGTTTCAACTTTGTCAAAATCCTATTATGAGGAACATTTATCTCATTGCCTGAACTCAAACCCCTGCTGAATAACATTTTGCAAATCAGTGGAGCTACTGGACATGCTTTGCCGTATTTGGGTTACATTGAAGCAAATGTTAGCATTCCACAAGAGTTTTGGGAGAAAAGGTTATTTATTTCCTCTCTGATTTTGGTTGTTCCCCAACTGGGTTTAACACTCGTGTTCCTATGGTGTTGGGTACTAATGTTCTCAAGGCTGCTGCTATCAATCTTTGACGCTTCACTCAAGGATGTTTCTTGTCAGTCGTTGGCTTGGGCGTTAGCTCGCCAGTGGTTTGTAAACAGATCTGAGGCTCTGGGTAGGGTTGAAAATGTTCAATCTACAAAGTCAATCATCGTGGAAGCTGGTTGTAATCAACTCATTACTGGTCTATGTCGTGTTGGGACTAAACCTCAACCTGGGATGCAATATTGTGTGCTTTTCCCTCTACATCATTACCAGAGCTCTCTTAATTTAGTTTGTGGAGTTGTTGATGTACCAGTGGAAGTCCAGTCTACTTCAAGGGTTAAGATTGAGGTCACCAATCCATCGAATAGGGCGATCACTATCCCAGGTCATACAATGCTTTGTCACTTAGAGCAAGTTGAAGTTATGGATCAACTCTCTATACCTGATGAACAGTCTTCAACCTCAAAAGATCTTTTGATTTTTGGGAAACTTAGTCAGACTTATACAGAGGAGGAGAGTTGCTGAGTTCAAATTCTCTAATCAATGAGTTTGATGATTTGTTTAGCAAGTCTGATTTAGACATGGTGTCAGACAGATTTAGTGCAACATCGAATTGACCTTACTGATGCCACACCTTTTAGAGAGAGACATCGAAGAATTCCTCCATCAATGTACCAGGAGGTAAGAAATCACATCAAAGACATGCTTAGTGCTGATGTCATTCGTCCTTCTTCAAGTCCACTTTTACTTCTCCTATTGTACTAGTTAAGTAAGGAGGACTCTGGACTTAGGTTTTGTGTGGATTATACGGTTGAATCGTACACAACAGTTAAGTGACTCTTACAGTCTGCCTCAGATAGAGGAGACACTTGATGCTTTGCATGGGGCTAAGTACTTTAATTGTCTTGATTTGAAGTCAGGTTATTGGCAAGTTAGGGTTGCCGAGGAACATATAAAGCCAGACCACGGCCTTCACTGTAGGACCATTAGGCTTTTATGAGTTCAACTGTATGCGTTAAAGCCTTACTAATGCTCCTGCAACTTTTCAACGTCTCATGGAGAGGTGTATGGGGGATCTTCACCTTTTACAGTGTTTGATCTATCTGGATGATATCAGTGTTTTCTCTCAGCAAGACCTTCAAAGAACATATCAGTAGACTCAGAGCAGTTTTGAAAGGTTAAAGAAACATGGTCTCAAATTAAAGCCCTCAAGTGTCAGTTTCTCCAGGCGTCAGTTAAGTACTTGGGACATGAAATTTCAGAGACTAGGTGTTCGTACTGATCCTGCAAAAATTGAGGTACTTAAGCAATAAGCCAGTTCCCCAGAATGTTGATCAGGCACTGCAGTTTTCTTGGTTTCACGGGTATTATCGCCCGATTTGTCAAGGACTATGCTAAAATTGCCAGACCTTTGAATGATTTACTAGCCCGGTACTTCTGGGAAAGAAATGGGGATCCAGTTTGTTTGGGAAGAAGCACAACAAGCTGCTTTTGATACTCTGATTGATCTCTTGACACACAGCACCAGTCTTGGCATATGCCGATTTCACTCAAGCCTTTTGAGCTGCATATTGATGCCAGTGGAAGTGGTCTTGTGTGCCATTCTTTATCAACAACAGGACAATGAGCGTAGAGTTATTGCAAAATTATGCTAATAGTACGTGGATTGTCTCGAGCAGAACAGCTATCCCGCATACAAAAGGGAATTCCTTGCATTTGGTCAGTGGTGAAAAAGTTTCATGATTATCTCTATGGAAACCAGTTTGTAGTCAAAACAGACAATAATCCGCTGACGTATATGTGTTGTCTAAGGCTAAACTAGATGCAGTGGGACACCGTTGGTTGGCTCGTTAGCCACATAGTTTTTCCATGGAATATGTACCTGGGTCCAAGAACATTGATGCTGATGCATTGTCAAGGTTGCCACGGGAAATTGTTGACATTGAAAGTGTCACTGCTATCTGTCAAGGTCATATGGTCTCGACCCCTGTTGTCGAAACCCTCTCTTTGAATGTAGATGTTTGTGATGCATTGACTGTCAGTGAATCTACATCATTGGGTCACTCTTCTCGAGGTATGAAAGAACATCAGAATGATGACGATTCTATTAAGTTCTATTTTAGAACTTGTGCGGTTGGGTGTTCGTCCTTCGCAAGAGACATTGCGGACAATGGATAAGGACACAGCTACAATCCTACGTCAATGGGATAATCTTGTTGTCAAAGATAGTACCCTTCAACGTAAACAGATTTCCACAGATGGTGAGGTATATTATCAGTTGGTAGTTCCAAAATCTCAGCGTACGGAAGTTGTCACTAGTCTTCATGATGACATGGGTCACCTTGGGCGAGATCGTACCATTGCTCTTCTTAGATGCTAGGTTTTATTGGCCAGAATGTTCCAGGATGTAGAAAGGAAGGTCAGTAGTTGTAGGAATTGTATTTTGGAGAAAGCTCTAATCAAGGAGAGCGTGCACCACTTGTCAACATTCATTCTTGTCAACCCGATGGAGCTAGTATGCATTGACTATCTCTCGTTGGAACCTTGTTCTGGAGGGTATGAGAATGTTTTGGTGATTACTGATCATTTTACCAAGTATGCTCTTGCAATTCCCACCAGGAATCAGACGGCCAAAACAACGGCTAAGGTTCTCTTTAATCACCTCATTGTGCACTATGGTGTTCCTGAAAAGCTACATTCTGATCAGGGTAGGAATTTTGAGAGTACGACAATCAAGGAGTTATTAATGGCATACTTGGTATTCAGAAGACTAGAACCACTCCTTATCACCCCATGGGGAATGGTCTTTGTGAAAGGTTCAATCGTACGCTTCTAGGGATGCTGGGAACTTTGGAAAGTCGGGAAAAGGTAAAATGGAAGGATCATTTGGCACCTTTGGTTCATGCTTATAACTGTACTGTCCATGATTCCACTGGATTTACTCCCTATTATCTTATGTTTGGACGTCACCCTCGGTTACCTATTGACGTTGCGTATGGTACAACATCCAACAATGTATCTTCAGAGACTCATACTCAGTTTGCTTCAGATATGCAGAGAAAGCTTTCCATTGCCTTTGATCTTGCGAGGAGAAATATTGAAAGCTCAGGAAAACAACGAACTGCATATGACCTCAAAGCACGTGGAGCTACTGTTAAAGTTGGTGATATAGTTCTAGTTCGGAATGTTGGTGTTCGTGGTATGCAGAAATTAACCAATCGTTGGGAGGAGGACTTTTATGTTGTAGAGCTCAGCCTAATCCAGGTTTACCAGTGTTTCGGGTTTGTAAGCAGGGATCACAATTAAGAAAAGTTCTTCAGAAATCTGCTTCTTCCTATTGGGACGAATGGTAGACCTATTCCTAGACCAAGGTTGTCCACTTTTACAGACAGTGCTCATGATCCTGAGACTTCAGCACTCGACCTGAATGCTAGTAATGTCTCATTGGGGCCTGTTGAAAGTCTACGAAATCATTCAAGTGATGAGTCTTTGCCTCTGGATTCTTCCACTCCATCACCTGCACCACGGTTGGCAGCGTGTTCATTTAAAACCTGCATGGATGTCAGATGAACAGTGGATTGTTAATCACACAATTTGGGTTTGACTTGTATCTCCAGTCTGAGTATTGGTGTCGAGGACGCCACTTTCCTAAAAGGGGGTGTGTATTGCGTCGTGTGCTAAAACAAAGTGGGATATTTTGTATATAGTTGGGTATATGTTAGTTCACATTTTATTTTATTAGAAAAGATAAAAATTATAAAATAAATAAAACCAAAACAAACTACCTTGTTATTAAATATTGAAATTACTTGTAAAATTACCTGTAGTGCCATGTGGGTGCTGTAACAGCAGCCATGTACTGTCATATCATTGTTTGTTTACTAACACTGGTCACCATCTTGGTTCCTCAGTTCTTCTAATTTTTTCAACCTCTTCTTTTTTTTTTCTGAATTGGGAATCATCCCAATTCACTTCAATTCTTCTTTTTCATAAATAATAGACTCACCTGATTGCCACTTACCTGCCACTGATTGGTTTCTTGTGCCAAACAATTCTCTTCTTGGCTGTGATTGGCCCTATTGGTTTGCCATAGTTTTCTTGTTGCTCACCTGTAGATTGTTTCTCAGTGTGTACCTGTCACTCCTTGAGAGACTTTCTCATTTCTTGTATGCAGGTGAGTCAACTTTTCACAGTTTCAGTTAGAGATAAGTTAGGCATAGGTTTATTAAATTTATTAAACAGGTTAAAACATTTATTACAATTATCAATTATCAACTATTAACTATTAACTATTAACGAGAACATAATTTAAATTAAAGTAACATTTATATATCTAGGCTGTTTATAAACTTACCAGCAATGGCCATGTGCTTGTTAGCGTCGGCCATGACAGTTTTTCATTTGGATTAGGTAAAGTCATAATTGGCACATGTATTGGTACAGTACAGTGCATTGATGTAGTACTATAATATTTATACAATGTTATGATTGGCCTAAATTGTATTGTACATGTTTTTAAATGTGCGAGTGTGTACCTGTCACTCCTTGAGAGACTTTCTCATTTCTTGTATGCAGGTACACCGTCACTTCATCCATCACACAAATAAAGATTGTTATAGTTGGCCCTGGTCATTCTTTGTCTATCTCGCATCGTCCAGAGACCGAACTATATACCCCTGGACCACGGTCTCATACTCATAGTGAGACACACCACGGCGTCTGTGCAAAACACCGAAAACACCGAAAGAGGCTGTTTCGATTCGGCCCCCCTCTCTATTTATAACTCCTGGAACCGTTATCTTTAACACCTGACTCTTTCTGCTTTTTGTGTGACAGTCGGGAACTTCGTTCAAAGGTATGATAAAATACATACATCTTCTTATGTTACCTACAACTTCACGTCTCGATGAAATGTTTCCGGGTTAAAACATGGCTGCGCAGTTGCAGGTGTACATTGTTATATCACTATGTACTGAAACGATCGTGAAAACATCTAACAATTAACACGATGTATCTTAGGTGTACACTTATATGCGAGTGATATACTCTTTCAATAACAAGAATAATGAACTGACAGCACACCGTGTTTATGGCTTTCGATTTGTGCTACCGCTGTTTATTCAAGTTACAACAAGAAAACAGGTGTTTCCCCTCGTTTCATATCTGTTACGTCACCAGTGTGGAGAAATATTGGTCCCTGTAACATTCAGACTATTTCGGTGTTGTCTGTTCTTGTGAAACGTATATCAGCGTACGTACACAGGACCGATCTTCATATACGTGTCGTAACTGGTGTTGGGGCGTTAGTAAACCCTACCACATTTACCTACTATTTGTGGCCGTTCCCATTGTCTGGGGGGAGATAGTAGCTCTGGCGCTCCACTCGCTTGGTCCATTGCAGGATGCTGCTAAGTCTCGGAGTGAGGGGTTGGACGGCCGTGACTCCTAACTAACCACATGGCATTCAAGTACTGGCACACATACATTCAAAGATAAACTCAACACCAATTTATACTCACATAGTTTACTCTGTCTCAGTCCATCTCTCTAACTACAACTTCATCAACAGACAGGGTAGGCTCGTACCACACGGGGCACCTGAGTGGTGGGGACTGGCTTCCATCACTTAAAAGTAGGGCTGTGCACTATTGCCTGTAAACCGGTACATACCGATACAGTATCTCGCGATACGATTATCACGATATGGTTCAGATTCTGCAATATACTGGGTTATCCAGAGTTAGCCCTCTTTGAATTTTATGCCCTTGACTTCCATGGCAACAATATATACAAGTGCCAAATATACTTTTATTTCAGTCGAAACATTTTACAAGTGGAAGCATCTTTATAAGTAGCTCCAAAAGAGCCAAATATTCTACCAAGTTTTGTGGGTTTCAATGGTTTCATATGTGACAGTTTGGAGGAATTAAGTGGCCTCAAATGGGCCAATGTTTTATTTGGCCTTATTAGTAGAGCATATGGCTCTGAGAGACCATTTCACAAATCAAAATATTTTATTATTTTTGTTTGTTTCATAATGGGATATATGTTATCAATTTATCATAGAGGCTTAAGTCTTATAAATTTTGTAGGACTGTATAATGACATTCTAGTCAAGGATCTCAGCATTGAAGGTTGAATGAGTAATCATGTTTTGTTTCATTTTGCAGTAGTTCATGTTAACACATGTTTATATTGGAATTGAATCTGAATGAATCACTGACATACGAGGGGCGATCAAAACGTATGTGTAATCACCAAGAAAACGATACAAATGCAGTTATTTCTATGTTTTATTTTTCTACATATTACCTGTCAAACTCAAGCAATTTGGTTTTGCTATGTTCCAGTCTCACGATCCCCATTTTGTTTGACCTTTTATCTTGGTACCCTCAAAAACGCAAAGTCTACAATAAATGCATAAAAAACTTCAGGAAACAAAATATGCAAGAAATATTTTGTGTGTTTGAGATTGATAGAAGTCCCCTAGAATCACACTTAGATATTAAACTTCATAAAAAAGCAATTTGAAATAACAATCGCTTGTTAAAGTGACTCCCCCCCTTCATGTTGACTGAAAGAGCTTGTTTTGGAGCATAGCTTATTCTACTGTTTTCACTTATGCATACATGATGCCAAGGGTTCAAACTGAATGGTCACACAAGTGTCAGCTCACAATATATTGTAAACTGTGCCAGCTTGAATATCTGGACACAATGTTGTTGAAAGATGTAAAAGGGTGTGTCCTTAAAAAAATAGCCCCTGACTAAAAATAAATCAGGCAATCCAAGTCTTTGACTGTTCATCACGACGGGAAGTCATCCAATACTATACTGAACATATTTTATATGACAATATCTTAGGGCATACCATTATCCAAGAGGTACCAAAAGACAAATCGTTTTTCATTTTCTGCAAATTTGTTAGAAATATATGATACCTCAATGTGTTGTAATGACAAATATCTGGTTAACCACATTACCCACACATGTGAAATTTTGGATATGGCTTTGCTAACGATTCCTGTATAATGAAATGGAAGCTTTTCAAACATTGGACATCGAGAATATAGTTAGGCTACGTACTTTTTGATCGACCCTTGTACCCTTAACAATAAGTACATCCTGCATTGAAGTGCACTCCGTTGAAAAAAACAACACTGCCTTCGGCTAAACGCCATTCGCTCGAATCTCTCCGCCTACCGTGCCTAACCATTATGACTCATGAGCAAAACTGCAAATCTACAATACGGAACCTGATGTAATTCTCTCATGGTTTAGGACCCGTGAAAGTCCGGGTTAGAATGTGCCTTCAGTAACCCATGCTTGTCGAAAGAGGCGACTAACGGGATCGGGTGGTCAGGCTCGCTGACTTAGTTGACATATGTCGTCGCTTCCAAATTGCTCATGCTGTTGATCACAGGATTGTCTGGTCCAGACTCGATTATTTACAGACCGCCGCCATTAAGGTGGAATATTGATGAGTGTGGCGTAAAGCTAAACTCACTCACTCACTCTCATGGTTTAAGGGTGCATTTTTACCTTGTAACAATAGCATTACCATGGATATTTGTTTGAAATGAGAGGCTTTCTCAATGTTATGATATTTTCTGCTTTTGTGACATGATTACGAAGGACAGTTATGGTGAAAATTGGAGCCGGTTTACTTATTTTAAAGCTTGTGATATGTATGGTTGCAGCATGAACGAAGACGGGGCAGAGGATGGGAACTCAAGTCAAAGTATGTGTTTTTTTGGTCACGATAAATACAACTATCACCATATCCCGACTAATTCCCCTTATATTTCATTAAATGAAACAATAATTATAGTTTGGCATGAAATGCATGTGGACCCGTTTTTTTATAAATATCTCTTCATCCAATGACCCAATCGATCTCAAACTGTGCAAGTGGATGTTTTGTCAGACAACCTAATCACATTGTAAATCACCGATTTGATGCATTTGTATTAAAGAATCTGTCTATGTAACTGTCAACAAAATAAACAGCAGAACGCAGACTGTTGTCAGAGGGAGGGAGCCAATGACCTGTACCTGTTTAAATCAGACACCACACATGACACACACAACATGAGACACCACACGTGACACACACAACATGAAAAACCACACATGACATACACAACATGAGACACCACACATGACACACACAACATGAGACACCACACATGACATACACAACATGAGACACCACACATGACATACACAACATGAGACACCACACATGACATACACAACATGAGACACCACAGATGACATACACAACATGAGACACCACACATGACATACACAACATGAGACACCACACATGACATACACAACATGAGACTCCACACATGACACACACACCATGAGGCACCACACGTGACATACTCAACATGAGACTCCACACATGACAGACACAACATGAGACACAACACATGACACACACACCATGAGGCACCACACATGACATACTCAACATGAGACACCACATATGACATACACAACATGAGACACCACACATGACATACACAACATGAGACACCACACATGACAGACACAACATGTGACACCACACATGACATACACAACATGAGACTCCACACATGACACACACACCATGAGGCACCACACATGACATACACAACATGAGACACCACACATGACATACACAACATGAGACACCACACATGACAGACACAACATGTGACATCACACATGACAGACACAACATGAGACACCACACATGACACACACAACATGAGACACCTCACATGACATACACAACATGAGACACCAAAGATCACATACACAAAATCAGACACCACACATGAGACACACAACATGAGACACCACACATGACATACACAAAATGAGACACCACACATGACAGACACAACATGAGACACCGCAGATGACATACACAACATGTGACACCACACATGACAGACACAACATGTGACACCACACATGACATACACAACATTAGACTCCACACATGACACACACACCATGAGGCACCACACATGACATACACAACATGAGACACCACACATGACATACACAACATGAGACACCACACATGACAGACACAATATGTGACATCACACATGACATACACAACATGAGACACCACACATGACACACACAACATGAGACACCACACATGACATACACAAAATGAGACACCACACATGACAGACACAACATGAGACACCGCAGATGACATACACAAAATCAGACACCACACATGACATACACAACATGACACACCACACATTACATACACAACATGAGACGCCACTTGTGGACACCAAAGCACACACTCTGCCTAACCACGCGACACCTCACTGCCGACCACACCACACCACACCACAATAACCACTCCACACCTCACCATCAGACACCACACTGCCGACCACACCACTTTTCAATAACCACTCCACACCTCACCATCCGACACCACACTGCCGACCACACCACTTCTCAATAACCGCTCCACACCTCACCATCCGACACCACACTGCCGACCACAGCACATCACAATAACCACTTCACACCTCACTGCCGACCAGAGGACACGAGTTCACACCACGCCACACCACACCAAACCGCATAAAACATCAAACGCACACCAGCCACGACACGCCACGACATAAAACAGCAAACACACATCACACACCGCGCCACACCGCACCGCAAATAAGGCCACAGACCGCACCAGACAAAACAGCAAACACACACCATAACCCCCCCCCCCCCACACACACACACACACCACACACACACACACCAGTGTGTAATTGTCCCCATAATGCCATAGACATTGTTTGTCATTACGTTACACTCCTGATAAAAAACTTTCATGTTTCAGGGTCGAACGTCAATACTACCGCCGTAAAGGACGGACAGGCCGGGACAGCGATAGCATTTGTCAATGCTAACATTGGAAGCCTTTCAAGTATTGATGTTATTGCTTTCATGTGTTAAATCAACCTTCAGTATTAATTAAATGACTAATTATATTCACATTACTTTGAGATAGAATCAGAGAATATTATGGTTGTGTAGAGTGAGTGAGTGAATATGGTTTTACGTCGCGATTAGCAATATATTCCAGCAATATCGCGGCGAGGGACACTGGAAATTTGGATTCAAACATTGTACCCTTGTCAGGAATCGAACCCTGGTCTTCGGCGTGACGAGCTAACGCTTTAACCACTAGACTACACCAGCGTCCCTATGTATGTGTAGATGTAAAATTGCAATATTCCATTCTCAAGATGTACGTATGACAACAATGTGTAGCACTGTCAGCCTGAAGATTTAGTGAATGAGCAAGTTCCGTTCACCTTTGAACATTATTACATGCTATTTCAGACATGTCAACAGAACATATACTCATGCCAATAATGGTTGTGATCCCCGCCCCACCCCAACCCCCACCCCACACCCCTCTCCAATTAAAACATTGAAGGGAGTGACAACCATTATTGGCATGAGTATATGAGTTGAGATCAATTAAGTGTGTTGGTTTGATTGCTTGTTCAACGCAGCACACTGCAGTCTTCAAGCTATACGACAGTGGTCTGCAAATAATCGAATCTTAAACAGACAAGCCTGTGATTGCTAACATGAGCACTGATCTACTAAAAGGGATATGATGCCATGTATCAATCTGCTCAGCGAGTCAGACGACCGGTACAGTTACTCGCCTCCTGCGACAAGCCGATCTTCATGGGTTTGTCACTTGTAGTGATACAAGTATAGTGTGTCTACCTTCTTGGTTATATCCACAAGCACAGTGAAGATGACATGCTATGAAACATAATCACGGCAGGTCTCTATTTGGGCCCTACAATCATAGCTTCCTGACATGCCTAAGGGGCGCACTTCTGTATAGCGAAACGTACCACCTTAAACCACAGGGCAATCCGTGCCACAAACAGTAACAGTTATTTATTATCGGAATAATGAAGCAACCAAACCCTTCCACTTGAATCAGAAATTTCTCTTAAAAGCAGAGTCTTTGCAGGAAGTACACTTCATATGGTTCTCTTACAAATAGAAAGAAAGAAACTTCACAAAATGTAATTTGAAAAATAATGAATACTTTTTCTCTGATAATACATCTATGTATCCGAAATGGGATCCCTATCTTCCGACTCTAGCTAAACGTTAGCAAAATCCACTCAAACCCATCCATTCATCGTGCAAATGACGTTAAGTGGCAAATTAGGTTTTGCACGTGCAGTCGATCACGTGATCTTCGCATCAAAGTTTTCTTCATATGCACGTGTTTGCAATGTCCTCAAAAATTGAAAAAACTCTTTTAAACCACAGTTCTAACGGTACTTGAAATGCGACGATTGTCAAATGTGCAACGTGAATGTGCCGTTGGCATGTTGCAAACAGGAAGATCAGTTATTGACGTCGCAAGATCAATGGGATGCACTCGTCGTACTGTGTATGACTCGCGAGGTCGTCTACAAGAAACTGGCACCACTTCTGATCGCCCAAGGTCGGGTCGTCCACGTGTGACGTCACGAGCAGAAGACCGTCAAATCGTCCTACGTCACCTACGTGACAGATTTCTGCCGGCTACACGAACCAAGGCTGAGATGTTCAGAGGTCGACTGTCCTCACAGACCATTCGAAATTGGTTGCGGGCTGCCAATCTCCATTCTCGAGGTCCATATCGTGGGCCAATATTGACGCCGTTTCATCAACGTCAACGTCTGCTGTTGGCCCAAAGTCACCTCCGATGGACCCAGAGAGACGGGAATCGAGTCGTCTTTGGCGATGAATCCATGTTTACCCTCAGATTCACAGATGGCAGGCATAGAGTCTGGAGAGGACGCCGTGAACGGTATGCCCAATGTTGTGTACAGGAAGTCGACAGATTCGGGGGCGGAAGTTGCATAGTGTGGGGTGCTTTCTGTGGGAATAACCGTTCCCGACTTCTGGTCATCCGTGGAAACCTCACAGCTGCTGCTTACCGCGACCAGGTGCTCACCCCTGAACTCGTTCCTTTCATGGCGGCTCATGGCCTAGGTCTACAGTTCCAGCATGATAATACTCGGCCGCATACCACGATGTTGACACAAAATTTCCTTCAAAATGCTGGAATCAACGTCATGGACTGGCCATCGAGGTCCCCTGACCTTAATCCAATAGAACACGTTTGGGATGCACTTGGGAGAAGGCTTCGTGGTCTGAAGGAACCAACCTCAGTATCTGCAGGAACTTGGCGCTGCCTTGCAAGAGTAATGGCGCAGAATCCCCAACCACATGTTCCCAAGCATCAGGCAGTCGATGAGGAGACGGTGTTTGGCAGAGGTGAATGCGCGGGGCAGCCATACACGATATTGAACTGAGAAAGTTTGCATTTTTATTTTTGTGACTTGACATTCTGTATACCCATGTTTTTGAACGGCGGTGTAGCCTAGTGGAACTGATTATGGCACTGTCAGTGTATCTAGTACATCACACAGATCTCAGCAATGAAATATTAACAATTTAACCATGTTACTATCTCTTGTTCTTTTATAGTGCCCTGAAGAAAGAATGTGAAGTTTCTCTTTTGACTCAGTATATTCATCTTGAAACTAGGTGCTCGTATCCTGTCTCACCGGTGGCACCTGTCATAAACGCATGTAAATGCAAGCCTGAAATGTGCAAGGGAAAATAGAGCCAATGTCGGGAATTGTATCAGACGTGGACCTGATGCGTCAAAGTAGACGTACTCTTACCCGTTCTTAAAGCTTGACGTACTCGTACCTTTAAGCAAATCATATTAGAGTGAGTGAGTTTAGCTTTACGCCGCTTTTAGCAATATTCCAGTAATATCACGGTGGGGACACCAGAAATGGGCTTCACACATTGTGCCCATGTGGGGAATCGAACCCGTGCCTTCGGCGTAACGAGCGAATTCTTTAACCACCAGGCTACCCACCGCCCACAAATCATATTAGAAGCAATAATAGAAGTGAAGACTTCATATGTTATATCAATTTTAACGTGGAATGCAAATTAAAATAGTTGCATCTTTTTTTTAGTTAACACTGCTCAACAAGGATCAGTCGTATCTGGACCCTCCAGACAAGTGCCAGAGAATCCAGAAAGAAGTAAATCTTACACCGTATCGCCACTATCTACGCCATATCACAATTCATCACATCTCTCTCCAAACCACATCACAGCACCCCTCACCACACCTCTCTCCATAACACAACCACATCTTGCCAGATCTCTCTCCACACCTCACATCACCTCTCTCCACACCTCACATCTCATCACATCATCCCACCCCCACACCACATTAAATCACACCTCACCTCACCATACCACTCACATATAACTCCGCAACACGCATCTCATCTCATCTCATCTCACCACACCACACCACACCACACCACACCACACCACACCACACCACACCACACCATACAAATATATCACCGCAACATGAAATACCTTACGTCACCTTACCTCACCTAACCCCCACACCACATCTCACCTCAGCATGCCATACACATTTATCATCCAAAACTGTGTTCCACAGGAGATATTGCTTGTGTGAGATCAGACGATATCTCCTAGGAGATATCGTTTTGACAATAGATTTTGTACAATGCCCTGACAATGCTATGACGTCATGGACTTGATGACGTCATGATGCTAAGAAATCGCTGCACTGTCTAATGGTAATACAGTGTTCAGAGATGTATATTTTTCATTGAAAACCAATGAACAGTGATTTTTGATGATAAATAGTATCTCACCCTCGAGTCTTCTGATATCAGATATATAAACACTCGTTGATAAAAGTCAAAATATCCTCGGCAATCCTCGGATATTTGTAACTTTATCAACTCGTTTTTGATATAATTGATATCAGTAGACGCGTGGGTGAGATTCTTTATATACCAGCACAACACCTCACCTCGCCTCGCCTTATATCACATCACCTCACATATCATCACCTCACCTCACCTCACCTCCACACCACACCACATCACATCGCACCTCATCGCAGCATACCATTCACATATACCATCACAACACATCACCTCATATTTGTAATCCATGGCTCTTTATATATCTATGATGGAACATACTAGAACATGCTGGTTTACGCTGGGTTATTTCGGTTGGTCAAAAGTCTAAAGAAATCCATGTAAGTCTAAATCTACTGATCAAAATAAGAAACTTCTCACTTGGAGAAATCAAATATTGAAATATAATTTATAACACACATCTCTGCTCTCTATTACATCAGATCAGAGTCTCACAAATATGGATAACACACATCTCTGTTCTCTATTACATCAGATCAGTGTCTTACAAATATGGATAACACACATCTCTGCTCTCTATTAGATCAGATCAGAGTCTTACAATGTGGACAGGACATAAGTATTCATACAAGGCTTCTGACTTATATCTGTTATTTGTCATGCGTTTATACCGCAAGGATACTGATATCATTTAATAGGCATTGCTTGAAAATTGACTTATGACTGTTGAAAATGAATGAGCTGATTTTGCCTCATTATTCCTGTTACATGCAGAAACACCAAGCCTAAGGGACGCAACTCTGGTTTATTACAATTATAATACCTTTCTTGATACAGATGAATATAGGAATGCAGTCCAAGTCACTTTAAGAGGGGACACCCTGAGCACAATCACAATTCCGGAGACGATCCCAGGTAAATACAACTGACAAAATCCTTTTCTAAAATCTCTTCTAAGAACAGAGTCCATTGTTCAATTTCGAAACTATCATGTGCCTACTTCAATGAAACCCATGTATGTAAAGGGTGTATACAATATTGAAGAGTATGTATTCATCAGTTAAAGCTTGTATAAAATCTGAAGAGGGCATCACTCAACACTTTGAAACTTCATGTGGTGTTCGCCAAGGTTGTGTCTTAAGCCTTGTGCTATTTATATTCTTTATAAATGAACTTGTAACTGATATGTATAACAAATGTGATCATGGAATATTTATAAGCCAAACTATTGAAGATATAATGATGCTATTGTTTGCAGATGATGTAACAATGTTTTCATTTACAGTAGCAGGTGTACAAAGACAACTGAATGTACTAGATGGTTTTTGTAGAAAATGGAGTCTTGAGGTGAATACAGAAAAGACAAATATAATAGTTTTTAGAAACGGTGGTATACTGCAAAGAAATGAGAAATGGTACTTTGGTGATAAACAGCTAAAAGGTGTTACTTACTATAAGTACTAAGGGTTAATATTCTCCTCAAGGCTCTTATGGTCAAACGATTGTAAGACTCTTGCTGCACAGGCAACTAAAGCAATGTTCTCTGTATTCCATTTATTTAGGAAGAATAGCTTTATCTCATTTACTACAGCCTGCCAAATATTTGATACGAAAATTGCTCCTGTTTTATTATACGCAAGTGAAATTAGGGGCAATAATTATCATCATGAAATAGAGAAAGTGCAAACTACATATTTTAAACGATATTTAAGGGTGGGAATGTTTGCATCCAATAATGCCATACTTGGTGAAAGTGGTTGGTATGATATGTTTATATTAACTCAAATACGATGTATTAAGTATTGGATTAAGTTGTTGCAAATGAATGTAAAGCGTTACCCATATCAATGTTATGTATTACTTAAAAATTTATATGAAAATGGAAAGTGTAATTAGGTGTCCAACATTAGAACAATCCTGTTTAGAACAAAGGTGGTGATGCAAGTGTGTTCATAGTGAAGTTTAGAGAAAGATTGATTGACATATACAAACAAACTTGGCATGATTCTATTTGTAACTCGCATTATTTAACGAACTACTGTAAGCTGAAAGCAGTTCTGGAGCCTGAATGTGATATTTTACAACTGAATGATTAGTCTCTTCTAAGAGCAGTTTGTAAATTTAGAATATCCCTACATAATTTTAGAATTGTTACTTACAGGAGAAATAAAGACAGTGGGAAAATTAGTTGTATCTGTAAAAATTGTAATCTTGGAGCGATTGAAGATGAATACCATGTTTTTGTGCAATGTACAAAATGTAATGAAATTCGGAAAAAGTACTTGCCACAGCTGAATGCCATGCCCCAATGTGAACAAAGCATGATAAATGTATTACACTCCAAGGATTCTAATGTTATTAAATCAGTTGCTCTGTTTTTTAAAAATCTGTTTAAACATTATATATGAAACTATCACGTGGCAGTGTAAAATATTGTAAGTTTCAATTGTATTATAGGCCGTTAGGCCCACATTACTGAATAAATATGTCTATCTGTCATGTATGTAAGGGGTGAATTTAACCCATTTAGCAAAAGCTATACATGGCGACAACCCAGGTCGTGGAAACATGCCCGTCTGGACTACTTTTTAATTTCCGATAATTGGTTGCCCACTATTATGAAAACGGAAATAGATGAAACAAAACAGCAGTATGAAAATGAAGATAACAATCAACGTTTTGGAAAATAAGATTAATCTCCAGAGCATTCAAGGACTTAAGGGATCTTAACGGAGATACAAATAGTCACTTAAGAAATAGAAGAAGAAATAAATCTCAAATACAAACCTAAATTTTACACGAAATGCACAATGCTAGTGTAAAGGGTAACGCAAAAGTCTGGAATCAAGAAACCGTAAACCAATGGACAAGTAGATGGCAGAACAATTGAATTACACGATGATATACAAAAAGGCCTGTGCCATCTACTAGAATGTTATTTCAGTGCTGAGTTCGAAGAAATGATTGGCTTAAATTATAAGAGTGCATTTGCACATTGTGAAACACTTACATATTTGGAGTAGTGAAGAAACGGAACCCCTATGGGACAATGCAACCATATATTCCCATTCTACCACATCCATCAGATATTAAGCTTAAACGTTAAAAAAGGGTCGAGGTAAAGCCCAAAATGTGAAGAGAGGTCAAAATATATTTGATACGTCAACTGGATGTATAAATGTCCCATTATAATAAAAACCTGCACAAAACACATTGATGATACACACAACTTCAAAATACAATGTCAGAGTGTGGTACATGATTTCGAGAATAACCCAAATGATTACGGGAACTATGCTCGCGTTGAGATAACGTTCACAGTGCCGGGCCTTGGCGAGACACTGAACATCATTTTAACGAGGGCATATTGCCATGATGTAATTTAAAAAGAAGAACCACTAAATAAAAACCACTAGGACTTGTGACCTCAAACAGCTGATTCGTATTCATGCACGTATTAAACTTAACTTCTCCAGCGGTAATAACATAACTACGCTGTAGAAAATAGTACCTCGTAAAATCACTTTAAAATATAACAAAACTATTTTTATTGAATAAGTTATTAACATATGTTAATATGATAAAAATGATCTTTTGATTGCAGTATTATTTAACTTGCTAACAGCTAAAACGTTATTTGATGAAGTTAGTACGCCGGAACATCCTTCATTCACGACTGACGTGTGTCTAGTGACGGGTGACGGTGTAGTGTTGAAACACACTTTGGCAAAAACCAGTCAAATTATGGGAAAGTCAACGGTTAAAAGTTGCTAAATCCAAAAGACAACCATCCCACGAATACATCTAGAAAAAGTCTTCTGTCAAGAAACTCAACAAGTTTGAAGATTAAACAACATTTTGTTATGTGGAAGGCGTGTTACAGTCTGGTCACTGGTCACAGTAGAGTACAGCAGTTCCAAGAAGGATAACTTTAGTAGGAATCCGAGTAAATGGGTAGAATAAGCTCCTTTGGAGCAGATTAGGATTTCGGATTGATTAGGAATGCATAGATCAAAAAGGTAATCTTCAAGAAGATCATCTAGCACTGATTCCGATAAGAAAGCTGTTTTCTGGTTCGGTGGCATTAGACGCCGTAGCAGACTCACTTGACACACTTTCAGGTAGCACCTTTAGTCGGTATCTTGCTGCTTCTTTTTCCCCGAATTCAGTTTTAACAACAAACAGGTTGAAGAAATTCAAGGGCTGTAAAATTCTTATCACTCTTCCTATTAGATCGCCGTTCACTTTAACTAGGTCATTGACCTTGATCGGGGTTTGCCTAAAAGCGGCCATGTTTGTTTACAAACAATGCAAACGATAGTTTTTGTGTTTTTAAAGGTTATTTATATTAAAAGGACTATTATTTATAACGCAATTTTATTGCAAAAGAAATATGTCCAAAAAGAGTATTCATATTCTTTAACCTTTATGTTTTCTTGTTTAAATCTCGGAATGTGTGAGTAGAGCACGTTCTAATTATCATTGAAACGGTAAAAGTTATCAAGAAAAGTAGTTCCGTCAACCAATCATAATTCGTCTCTGCTTAGCTTACCAATCAACGTTGAGAATCACTGAAAAGCACATGTGCGATTATCACAAAAATAATCACCTGTGTATCCTAGCCTGTATGGGTAATAATCTCTTTTTAACGCTTCCATTTATGGACTTTACAATGCTTTGAAAATTATTTGCAAGATGTTAAGATTGCAAATGATTACCGAGAAGAGTTCTGTCCACTATAAGGATTTACAAAGGGGCGGTGGAAATTCACACATAAAAAATCCATCTGGAATATATATATAAAAAGGGTACCCTTGTACAAAATATAAGGTAGTCTAGTTTCTAAGTACATGTTTTATGACTCATAAAACTATTTTGCACATAACGCAACCATTCCTGTCATTCGAAATTTTCAAAACAGTTAAAACTAACTTTTAACCTACACAGGTGTTCTTCGCGCAATTATACAGCAGTCATTAAAACTGTTAGTCAACAGTCATGAAAATTTGACTTATCCTTCAGCTTCCAGTTTTACCATTTCATGCATATCATGTAAATAAATATAATAAATTAAAAATAAATATTTGAAACGTGGCAAGGTAATTAATGATGCATCAGTCAAGTTATAAGAGGAGGAGTTTTTCTTGTGGAAGATCAGGCCAACACCAATCCTGGAATGCAAGTTCGGGACAAGCTCCAGAATGCCCAAATTCCTGACAAACGTCAATCATGAAAATTTGACTTATCCTTTTAGCTTCCAGTTTTATCATGTTAACAAAAATAATAAATTAATGATAAATATTTGAAACGTGGCACGGTAATTAATGATGGATCTTGTGGAAGATCATGCCTACACCCATCATGGAATGCAAGTTTAAGACAAGGGCCTAGATTTTCGAAGCTCTCTTAGCGCTAAGATAGTCGTATATGCCATAGATTAACATTACCTTACGACTATCTTAGTGCTAAGAGAACTTTGAAAATATAGGCCAAGATCCAGAATGCCCAAACTTCAGGCCGAGTATAAATGATGCTCAAATAAAAAACTGGAGCTCAGAACTAAATGCTCGAAACAAGAGCACCAATACGTTTGCTGTGCCAGTCCTTTCCTATTCATTTGGGGTAGTTGATTGGACTTAACAAGATATCCAAAGTTTTGACCACCTGGCCAGAAGGATAATGTCTGATAACAGAGCCCACCACCCTCGGTCCTCTCTTATTCGTTATATGCCAACCAATTCTGGAGATCGGGGTTTGAATCACGTGGAGCCTCTTCATGACAGAATTGTTTTTGTGTACTTCACAGATGTATTTATCGGATGGTTACTCTGGTGATGCATGTCAAGACTCATGATAAAAGCAAGGAATTCCACAACTATTTTAAGCATGTCATGGTTGTTAGATAGAATCTGAAATTTGAGGTTGATTTTATTGATGGCGATGTCTCCCATCACTAGACGGTACAGTGATAGGAGCCAGTCATTTGTGGAGAAGATTTCTGAGGACTCACTGCATTGTGTGTACATGCAGTGTACGGAACAGAACAGTAATCTACTCTTTCATCTGGAAGAAGTCGGCTGGTCTCAATGTGAAACTGAGGGCTTTCCTTTTGGTGCTCAAGACCAGTCACTGCCTACTCGCAATCGCCAAGATGTTCTGCTTCTACCACGGTCTTCGCCATGCCTGTGGCTTTGACTCCGAGGTCCAACGATAAAGGACCGCAAAATTGAAAACAGAGTAGCTTTATCTTCTAATTAAACTAAACATGTTGTGTATTTTATCAGGGAATGCAACAAACTCATCTACATCTGGCGACAAACGGACTCTTGGACATTGCATAATCTCCCTTAAACCTTATCATTATTATCCAACAAATAAGTTTCGCCAATATCATAATAATAACAACAATTCTCCAACACTCCAATTTGTACAGAAGGAACTTACTGATTTATGTAAGCATACTTCCACCTATAATCATAACAGAGATTCTTGGTCATAGGTATTGTGTAATGTATTGTATCATATTCGTCTTAAGCATTCCAGATGTCAAGAGTCGACAGAACAGATAAATGGTCTTGTATATCTGTAAACCCAAGGGTCTTATCAAGTCATGGTTACAGTGGTTATGATATATGGTAATGACTTATAATGTTACTGATGTGTGTAGTAACTATGACAAATGTCTTTATATATCAGTACACAACGGCAAGGTGTCGATACGTGGAAACTACGATGACCAGAATATCAAGACGAAAGGTAAATTATTTAATTGTGAAAATGTATATTTACCAAGTTAATTTCGTTTTTTTTGTGTGTATAGTACTCGCCAAAGTTAATCATATGTTTCTACATTTCTTTTTTTCATAAAAAGTTACATGCGAACATGGAAAAATTGTGCGTCTTAAAGCGATCTGTGGGAAACAACAAACTAAAAATGCCGCCTGTCGATCAAAGTGGACGCTCTCTGACATTGAGATAGGTGCTTTGCCTAAGTTGATGGCATCTTGTTCTAAAGGACTGAGAGACATAACGCTCGCCTTCAAAAACAAATTCCGCGTGCTTTGGATGCGTGCAGAAGAAGGAAGCTTAGTTTTGGAGTTCGGACATGATACCAAACAAGATGCTGAGGAAATGGTCTCCAATAAGGTTGAAGTGATCCATCTGCTTAAGAAGCTGCTTGGAAATTACAATATTCATGACGCATTCATTGTGGATAATGTTGAGGTCATGGACGAGTGTGATGATGTCACTGAATTGCCAAGTACTTCCACAGACCAAGGATGGAAAAGGCAAGGTCTTAGTTTTGTCTGTTTGTGTATCTGTTTTCCTCCACATTATTCCGTTATTTGGCAACAGTCTGGAACTGAGGAAGTGTGGCAAACCAATGACTGAAAGCATGAACATTGTACAAAGCCCTCATGGCAAGATGACACACATTAGGCAGTGAGACTGAGTAACCCGATCCAGTGTTGCGTCCTTTTACCAAAAGCAATATAGTACCGTGGACATATTCTAATGCGAATCTCCACCGTTCATTGATATTAATACAGATCACAGTCTCTAGAGTTATAATGATAAAAGGCAATACTATGTGATGTGGAAGAATATGATTTATAGCAAACTTCTGCTTTTCTTTGTTGTCTGGATGTTTTAGTGTTTTGTCTTACAGGCTCACGGGACATCATTATGCCACTTCACAAAGTGACTCGGGAATTTACTCAGTGTCATCTGGAGGAGCACATGCTCAGGCAGATCATCAAGTGCATCTTGAATCAGAGTTGGGGAAACTGTAAGTATATAATCAATTATGAATTAGGGTTTGAAGCGTCAACCTTATCAGAAAGTATTTGTACTAAAAAGCTTCTAGTGAAGTACAAAGGGCAAGACATGTTGAGTAAACTTGTCGTAAGATTGTAAGGTGACCCAACAACAGTTACTAATGTGTATTGCGGCTTCATGTTGTCATTGCCAATGTATCCAATTACACAATATTCGCCTAAGGGCCGTTAACCACAAGACTGTTGAGTGGGACGACCTTGCCCATTTCTCCAACAATTAACGCAACAACAGGTTTGTACTAACATACGTTTACTTACATCACTCGATGTCTACTACACAAGACAGAACAGGCATGTCACAGAGTGGGAAAACGGTGTGAGGACGATTTGCCCTCACCACTCTGCTAGTATTAAAAGTGTCGTTTTAAATTGTCGGATACTGATTGCTCAGTATCACATGCCTTTATATATCAATATGATTCCTTCACAATTCAATCAGATTCAGAACACATGTTTGTCATGATCGAAAACGGCAACCCACGTGACCATGTCAGCATCTCTTTATTGATTTCCTGTCATCCCTCTATACGTCTCGTTAGTCTCGCGAGGCGTTACTTCCGTTACTAAATTTCCGGTGACAAACGAATATTCAAGAACCAGTTCTGGTGCCAAATTGCACGACCGCCAAATATCACCTTACTAGGCCGGACCAAGTGAACTACCATGCTTGGCTGTCACAGCTGGTGACAGTCGGAGTAATTGGTTCATTTTGGGACGATAAGATCGAAAATTTATTTTATTTCTTCAAGGATTATCGGTTCCTTATTGACAACCGACAACCATGAGTCAATTCGAAAACATATGAGTACCTTTCTTTAGCTATAATAATTTTTTAATAACCAGCTAGTGCAGTTTTAATCGCTGAACGTGTTTTGTTTCAGTATCGCGGACAGTGTTTGTCAGAAAATATATTTCGGGAATCAATGACATGGTAAACGTAAAATGTATTTGAGTAAACTTTATTTATTGAATTAATAAAACTATATTTTAATATTCTGCTATTCATAAAAGAGTCAAGTGTTACCAACTTTATCAAGCTGATGTTCTATTTATATTTGGCCACATTGACTCATTTCCATTTTCAATTAAAGTATGTAATTTCCAAATTAGAATATTTTTGTTTGTTTAGTTTGTTATTTATTTTCTAAATACATTTGTTATGCTGCAGTAATATTTTCAGTAACCATTCTAAATTAAAAACCATTTTTACATATCAATATTTATATTTGTTAGGATCTATTTAATAGATGTAATCAATGGAGACAATTGGCTTTATGCAATGTACACTGCATGTGTAAACTAGTTGGTAGGCTTAACATATAATTTTACTCTCTTCCACGTCTAAGGGATGGCTGTATGAAAGTTCAGGTGACAGAATGATAAAAGAAGAAATAAATTGTTTGTTGTTTTGCAAATGTGAAAGAAAATGCATTATAAATTTTTCTTTGGATAGATGATAGGGATCTGCATGTGGCAGATTGTTACTTTGTCATGCTGTAAATATATTGATGATGACATATTGAATAAATAGCAGTTCTTGTAACATTATTTTTAAAAAAATATATAAATATATGAACTTTGCCATTTTTGGTGACGTTTTTATTCACACAAGAAGTCATAGTGTCACAAATCAATCAACAGCTCGACAAAATAACCTTGATAATATGGTTACAATGATTTCGGTTACTACTGTCAGATATTCAAAACAAAAATGTGAAAACCTTCAGCCATATTGATATTCATCACGAAACAATTATTTATCAAATTATGTAAACATTATTTTAGTGGGGTGATATATAAAAACTGGTTGTTGGACAATATTAATTACACTTTATACTAGATGTCTTGGATGTTGTGAATTATGTACTATGATCTACAGTACATGCGTGTTACTTAGTTCTTGGTTATGCAGGGGTGAGGTTCTTCTGTGCTGTAAGCAAAATATGAAGCAGCACACAGCACCTTCAAGTCACAGTTGGCAAAAAGGCAAGACCATTTTTAGTAACTTATATATTCCAAATATTCTGCCAATGAGGCCAAGGTTGGTAACTGGCATTCCATATTTTCCACTATACAGCTACACCAATATGTTTTAAAATAATGGAAAAGAATAATGTGTACTGGTTATTGTGCTATGAACCAATGTTGTAATCTTACAGCAATCTAAACAAAGAATTTCATATTTCAGCAAAAGTTCCATGGCATGTAGAAATACATGCGTATGCCATTGATTAAGTTTAATTTTCATTGGTAAGCTTGTTTTCATGGAAACTGGGGTAGTAGGGTAACCCAGTGGTTAAACTGTTGACTTGTCACACTGAAGGCCTGGGTTCGATTCCCCACATGGGTGCAAAGTTGGAAGCCCATTTCTGCTCTCCCCAGCATGATGTTGCTGGAATATTGCTAAAAGCGGCTTAAAACCCAACTCTCTTTCACTTGGAAACGTTTGCTATATACACTGAAAATCTAATCTCATACATTCATCATTATATATTTAATGTCAAATCAATATCATGGCTAAAGCAGAAATCTTCCAAACCATTCAATTTGTGCTTGCTTTATCCACACTTAAAAAACAATAAACAAGTTTTAGAACTATTCTGCAATTTTATTCAAAAGACATAATTACTTATAACATATCAAACATTCTTTGCATTTGCCAGATGCTAAACTTGAAAAAAATACTGGAATATTTTCATGGTCACTCATCTAAATTCTCACAGAATTATCTGAGAGTCTCAAGATGTCACAAGAAGTTCCACAACACCATGCTGATGACAAGCATTTCCTGTTCAAGCATGTGTCCAAAGGATGATGTGTTGGGCTTTAATATGTATATAGAACACTTCAATGACTTGCTGTTTCTTCATTGGCAATGTATTGCTTGAACACCAGATGTTAAAAGAAATCTGAAGATCTGTTTCAGTATGTGTTGCTCTTGATGTCAATGGTAATTGTGGTGATCTATTCCTCCTTCTTTTCCTCTTAAAGATGTGCATATGTTGCAACTGAACAAATACATAACACATGTGAGACCAAGTATGATATACTTAAAAGATGTAAACAGTTCCTTACAGTGTTGATATCAAGATATTATTGATAAAATAAGCATGTGGATGTTATGTTTACCTGAACATGTTGCACCATAAACAAATGCTAAATGGGTTTGTAATAATCAAGCTCATATTGCAGAATACATTTGTGAGAGACACCTACTCAGAGCTATTGGCATCAATCAAAGTGTGGATATAATCATAATGGTTTACACTCTATTAAATCATTCTTTAATTCATTACATTTATTTTTTTAGAATTACACCTGGAATTCCATTGCGCATAAACTTATCTCCTGGATAATTCCAACTGCAAGATACTTTATTTATTAACAAAGTTCCCGATAAAATGTTTTATGCAAAACTTTACAAATATTGATCAAAATTTTTATATTTTTGTGAGATTCCAAAATAACTTTACATTGTTATGGATAAACTTAATTGTTATTTGCCATGATGAATTACGTAAGTTTTAATAAATGTAAAAACTGCAAAATCCAATTGTAGTGAGTGGGTGAGTTAATATTTATCGTCACATTGGCATTATTTTTCAGCTATATCGTGATGAGAACAATTTATTATTATATAGATCAATGCAATTAGAAATTAAAAGTCTGTTGTCGAAGAACAGTAAAACTGCTAGTATATCACATGTATTAAAGTAAAATTAGCACGCTATCATAAAACGATATTATTAAACAGAACAATACAATATAAACATGGGCTATAGGTTGTCAACAACTGAAGGTAGATGGGGACGGGAACTTACAGTACTTTTGCTACCTGCATGGACCCAAGCGGATTTACATCATCCCCTCAGTTGTAGCAGCGTCAGGATGTAGTTATTGTAGCGACAAGAACCACAAAGCCACTGGGGTGTGAGGCGGATGGACTTTTATTACAACGAATGTAATAAACAAAAGCTTTAGCCTGAAACATGTTAAAATGACCATAAAAGGTTATAATCAATAATTGACAGGAATCACATTACTACATAAGTGAATTAACTTATCCAAATATTTAATCAAACACACACGTACATGTATATACATAACTAATCATAACTACTGTTGCCAGCACGTTACCGTGACAACTCCACAGATATATAAATGAATAATATCATGGTAATACACATGATTTGCTGATGGACATGAATGATACACATGTATTAATTATATTGCATGGCATTGATACTATAAACATTTACAAAGATGATAGACCTGAGCTCCTGCATTTAATGCATAGGTGATACTGCTGGTGTTTACGTCATCTGCAGGATGAATAAATACCATGTGCACATGATATTTAAAACAAATGATTAAAAGAGTAATTACGGTAAAAGCTACATACAACCACATCTAACCACACATACGCACATACATCCACACACGCACTCCATTTATGGTAGCTATAATAATGCTAATAGTAATAATGCCTTAATGTGATAGGAATATGGAAAATAAGATTATTGCTAAATATTATACTTTAATGAAATATAATTAATGGTTATATGTAATGTTATAAATATATAATATAACACTTACACAACTTACTGTTCTGTGAGTCAAAACGTAACATTAACCTAACTCACTGGACTGTGAGCTAAACTTAAACTATAAAAACAGTATGATAACTCACTCTAATGCGAGTTATAACCTACACTAATAGCAATGTCATAACTCACTATACTGTGAGTTACCACCACATAAAATATTTACACATGGTAGAAAGTGGATACTGAGATTAAACATACTTTAAACTACAGCCAATATAACCATCAACTATCACACACAAAACCACAATAAATATATACACAGGACTTGAGATTACTAACCTTATATACAGGGGAAAAACACAGTCCAGATCACCATGATCTCGATCCTAGAGACAAAACCGCAACATGCGCGATGACAACCACATAAGATACTGACGAAGAGACTAGATGAAAATAGCCTTTAAATACATAATACCTTATACGCTTGGCTGAACAGATAACAATAGAACCTACACACTAGCCTGAGCAAGGGACATGCTTTAGAAGGGATTGCAGGGGAGAAAAGCATGCAGTGCAAATGAGTATTGCTGAAATAGATTACATTTAAGATTAGATTGATGTTTAGAAGGGCTAAGGGTGTGATATAAAATATTGAATATAAAATTATTGATAAAATGATTAGACTTAGGTTATTTAAAGAGATTGTTTTCTCATCATAATGACACACAACTTTAAAAGATTCACGTGTTTATTATATTTACAATTATATACAATACAAAGTTGAATCTGCCACATACTTCCCCCCACCACACAAATGACGTCTTCATTTACTTGAGTGAAGAAGGTTCACAACAAACTGCTCGAACACAACTGCTGAGGCCAAGCGCTCTACTAGGTCGGATCTATCGTCCAGTCGTTGATTGTCGTCTGGCTCATGACGTAATCCCCCGAGCGCTGCCATTCCTGTGGTCTCCTCTCACGACGTGAAGTCCTTGTTGGTGGTTAGGTCTGGTTCGGACTAGAGGCGAGTCAGGAGCTCTGGCTTCTCCTGCTAGGTCCTCTGGATTCGGCTCTGAGGTTCTGCTTCATCCTCAAGCATTTCTTCCTTGACAGATACATCCTCTGTGCTGGGATCCTCGCTAGTCCCCGGCTGATGGCCGTCACCATGATGTACATCGCTGCGCTGCCCATCTCCTCAGTCTTCAGATCGTCACCATCCAACTGGGAGATGGAATCCTCTCCCATAGATTCTGCGCTGACAACTGTGGAATCATCAGGCTCTGTAGGAAGTTCTACTAGAAGGCTTGAAATTGACCTTCTTTCGTCCTCCTCCAACACATTAGTTTCTGTTGGTTCTGTGACTGTCCTGGCTGACCTTTTTCTTGGCTTTGGTTTAGGTGGTACAGGCTTGGTCTTCTGAGAGTCGTCTGGCAAAGATCCGATGGGTAGAAGCAGGTTCCGAGGTAGGGTCCGAGACCTTCCTTCCTCTCGTTCTTTCTTCACAACAAACACCGGGATGTCCGTGTTAGGCTGAGAAACAACGATGTACGGGTCTTCTTCCCACTTATCAGAAAGTTTGTGCTTGCCATCGAAAGCTATGATCTTCACCAGAACATGCTCTACAGGCTGTAATGTAGCTCCCCCCTGACCTTGACATCATAACCAGCCTTCTGATGCTCCAGTTTAGACATTAATTTAAACGAACGTATATACTATGATTAAAAATGAGGTGAGATAACCTCTCAGGCGGACAATAAAACCACACTGTAATATATCAAATGCAATCGAACGATTCACCAATCTGCACACATGTCAACTCCACCCTTACTGTGTGTGCCATGCTTAAACTATGCCAGCCTTTAATTGAAAACAAAGATATCCATGTAACAAATAAACTTACCTAGACTCCTGAATGGGCCAGCCTGAAGACGACACTGTGACAGCCGTTTGGCAGGTATCAACGTGCTATTCATGCAGCATTGCCTTAGTGCGTTTATAGTCTGGGCATAGTTTGTGACATGACATAGTTTTCGGAGTCACACAGCGAGTGTCGAGTATGATTATCCACGGCATTCCCCATGTAACAGTGTTATCGCTATTGCCGAAAACGTTGTTTGTCATTGGAAGTACTCAACAACGTAATGTCTCGCGAAGTGCCGTGACCTACTTACAGACTCTATAGGTTCCGATTCTGTTGCCCTTGTGTTGTCACCTAAACCAACCACCACGTATAAGCTGTCACAAAGATAATAATCATTTTAAAGGTCGATATTGCTACAATTTGTTATGGTAATGGGGATTACAACATAAACTAAACTGACCCACAAAAAGTTCACATCCATTCCAGAAATTGCTTTGGGGTTATTTAAGGAAATAAACGTTTAAGTCACAAATATTGTGTACGTGCATGTGTTGCCCAAACAGACATCGCACCCAACAGAAACGTTGCCAGTGCCTTGAATCGATTGCAAAGCGAGGACGATTCAGTCTCCGTTGCCGGGTAAACGAAATGCCAACAGCACTCAGTCGTTTAATCACTGTGTTTCTGTTGATGTACTGACTCAACACTGTTGGTGCTGATGACGTCACTGCGGGCTTCAGGCTAGCTATTCTCGAAACGTTCGTAGCTCTACGAACTTCTTAAGCCCATTCTTAACACATTGGCTACGATCAAAATTAAGAATTCTTATGGCTACGAACGTTTCGAGAATAAGGGCCCAGGTTGCGCACATGGATAATGCGATAGTCATCTTTGCGGGGTCGCCATTTCTGGGACAGTTTGGCTGACTTGTTTCATAAGTCTGGTGATGGTCTGCATGGTACAACCGAACGTACCACCATTATGGCTGTTTGAAGCCCCAATCTGAGACATTCCGATGACTCGTATTCCCTCTGTTAAAGATAATCCTGGCATTTTATTTTTAAAGGTCAAGTTGGTTTTGAGGTTTTGGGGATGCCCCTTTACCTCTTAACAGCAATTTGATGTTTAACAGGCTAACACTAAAAGTCTCAACAAACATATCATGCACGTGTGATTGAACAGTTTCCTGATTGTAAGCACAAAAATTGTAACTGATCTGATTTGTGTGTATTTCAGGTTAACAGATGAAGAGGTTCGTGGTGAGTGTGGGAAGGATATTATACATTCTTTACGAGCCAACATCATCTCAGACAAGCACCCAATCGAGGATAATGACGCTATGTTTGTCGTAAGACCCGGCTAATGGGATGGGATGGACGCAGTCGTAAATTTCCGGATCCAAATTATTTCTATTACGACATAAATCCCTTGGAATATCGCTGATTGAAGTGGCATGCAATATACACACATGTATTTAAACAATGCGACGTGGTTGTTCGACTTTTTTTTAACCATTTTACCAAATTATGAAATAATTTTGATAAGATGTCAGGGAGGAATGACTGTCATCATGACTTTACAATCCATATTGTGTTAGTACATCATCATAGAACACCTATTACCAAACAAAATGGGAGATCCTCAAAGAACGAGTTAATATCTAGCGTCAAATCCGCAATATCTAGCCATATCTTCAAAGAATAGGAAAATGACCCATCAAAGTTTTGGGTCGTCGTGTAGCATATTTAAATAACCTGTAAGTCCTTCGTAAATAATGATAAAGTTGAGACTTTACTGCTTCGTTATTTGTTAACATGGAAAAAACGCCCTGTTTTACTCCACAGGTTGCGATGCTTGCCGGGGCATGAGTGAACGCAAGTATTCAATTCAAAATCATGTTGTAATCCACATGGATGGGGTAATGATGTTTCAAAGGAAAAAGAAAGCTCGTCATCAAACAGATATAAGTGAGTACAGACGAGAAAAAAGAAGTGAAATTTCAAAGAAGGCCTCTGCTTTGAGAAACTCTGGAGGAGGAGCTATATTCTGCCACCTCAGTGGGAAAAACAAAATCAACAAATGCCTCGGACAATTCGATGACATGTTCTTAAATTCTCAGATCTTTTGCCTTGATGAAGGGGAAATCTATTCTCATGAAATACAACGAGAGTGGTTTAAGGATACTGACTTTCTTGTCATTACAGTATCTCAGTGTATCTCAACGAGGGTATCTACAGCGAGTGTAGATAGTTACACTTCCAACCACAGATCTCTCGCTGCTGCTTCTCTTGCCCAAATAAAAACATTACTGTTCGTTAAACGCGATGTAGGTCACAGACCCCCGGTTGTCAGAGGATTGGGGAATCTTCAGACAGGAGTAGATATTAAGCTGAAAAGTTTAAGGCCCCAAGAACACCTCACGACCAAAGCCAATATTTTTGAATCTTTGTACCGTTGTCGCTTACATAAGTTTATTTCAGCATTTTCCAAAAACCCATCTGGTGGGTCTTTATACATTGGAGTTCTTGACGATGAAATCTGCCCAATCATGGAGGGTGTTCACATTACGTCAAAGGATCACAAAGCCTTTACAGAAGCGCTGAGTCACTTTGTTCGACTAAACCTGATGATCATACCAAACATTCACACTCACGAATCATATGACCTGGCAGGCCTTGTGGATGTTACTTTTCATCAAGTCAGTGAAGACAAAAGCGTGATTGAATTCTCAGTCAGGCCAGTAAATGGATGTGTGTTCACAAATACAAGTGGACCGTCTGCTTACAAAATAGATGAAGGTTGTGTGCGTAGGATGACATGTCAGGAATGGATGCAGAAGGTTCAGCCTGCAGAGTAGAGACCAAATGATGAAGGTGCATGATGGGGGAATGTCATAAAGGAAATCAGCAAGGTCTATAGTATAATGTTCATGGAGAAGTCTTTGAGAAAGTTTTGTGTGGACGAAACTGAACTGTTAAAGGGACTTGGGGTCTTGTGAAGACAGGAAACACAGGAAACACCCTAGTGAGTTTCTATACTGACTTTGTCGTCCATAAACATTCTCGTTCAAACTCTGGATGCCAACAACGCATGGTCCTATCAACGTTCAAAGTCCATTCACTGTGGTTTGAACGTACCGTTACAAAATTTGTGTGTCATTTGGAACAAAATAAGCAACAAACCATTAGCCTCACTGATTATATCATTTCTAATTAAGTATTGATTCATTAGCTCATAAGCAAGGAAATATGTGTTCTGAAATATTTTCATGGGGAACATGTACACAGACAGCACCTTGAGACTAAAGTATTCATCTTAAATGCAAGTGTAAGAACTTCATGGAAAGGCCATGACCCCTGTGAACATTTAGTGACAGGTTGCATTTTGTATATTTGTACACTGTATTGTATAGTTTTATAATCGCGATACAGATAGGTACAATTGTGGTTTCATGCAACCAAAAGTTTTTTCTGAATACACAGCTGTCTGCCTGTATAATTGTGGTTTGAGGTATATAGGGACATATTATTTATATTGATTTGTGTATCCTTATTTGTTTTATCCCGGGCTGGTATAATTGTGGTTTGAGCTATATAGGGACATATTATTTATATTGATTTGTGTATCCTTATTTGTTGTATCCCGGGCTGGTATAATTGTGGTTTGAACTATATAGGGACATATGATATATATTGATTTGTGTATCCTTATTTGTTGTCTCAAATGAGCTTCACGATCACTAAAGTATTTTGTCAGAAATTATTACTCAAAACTGTATGCCAGTAGTTAACTGGCTGGCTGGCTGTTTGAATCTGGGCGGTGGGGTAGCTTTGTTGTTAACGCATTCGCTCGGCACGCCAGAGTACTGGGTTTGATTCCCAGCATAGGATGATGTGTGAGGCCCATTTCTCATATCCTCAGCCGTGATATTGTTGGTATAGGACTAAAGCCGGGTTAAAACCACATCCTCCACGTTATCACTCTGCTACTGTAGAGTTCATTCATCTAGGCAAGCTGTATAACACTACTCTGGTAGCATTCCGCTTTAAATGTAAATGTGAGATGATTGATGATGATGATGATGATATCATTCCGGTTTAAAATGTAAATGTGAGATGATGATGGTGATATCGCTCCGGTTTTAAATGTAAATGTGAGATGATGATGATGATGATGATGATGATGATGATGATGATGATGATGATGATATCATTCTGGTTTTAAATGTAAATGTGAAATGATTGATGATGATGATGATGATATAATTCCGGTTTTAAATATAAATGTGAGATGATTGGGCTGTTGAATATAATAGGATTGTGTTCGTGTCCAGTCGACTCTGTAGTGTGTGTCTGTTTTGTTGGGTCGTTTTGTTTCTTTGTTATACAGGTGATACTTTAATGTTCTATAACTTGTTTGTAGTTCCGTTATCGCCCTGTCTATATTTTAAGATGTATGGTACGTTATTAGGTTTTGAGTGTTTATTACAGAAGACTTTTCAGTGTAGAAATTGATTTTGTAGGTTACTTTGCCACTTTTGGGAGGTGTTTTTCTTTTGATATGCTTTTGATTTCATTTGAGATAATGGTATGTTTATGCTAACTTCTCGGGGTTTCTGCTTTTGGCGTGTTTAGGCGTGTTTATCTAATTAAAGACATATTTGTGGTTGGGCCCTTAGTGCCCACTTGTCCCTGTCTAACCAAGACGAGGTAAACCCTTCCACAGAGCTAGTTAACTCCAAGGTGATAAGTGGCCACAACCGACTTAACTGTTTGCCCATGCATCTGGGTCCCGATTGATTTTCGTAACATTACGACCTGTCGTAACTCATAGTTTATCATAGTCTTACGAATGTCGTAATGCTACCAAGGTTTTGTAGATGGTGAACCTGATCTATTGTCTTGTCGCCTGTCTTTAGTTACATTTAGCTGCTAATAATAAAAGGAAAAAGCCTTGTTGTCTTGCATTATTTTTGTTCATATTTAATGATTCTCTGATCTCCAGGACCTGTGAAGGTACGGGTTAGAAATGGTCTTCAGTAACCCATGCTTGTCGTAAGAGGCGACAAAACGGGATCGGGTGGTCAGGCTCACTGACTGAGTTCACTCTTGTCATCGTATCCCAATTGCGTAGATCGATGTTCATGCTGTTGATCCCTGGATTGTCTGGTCCAGACTCGATTATTTACAGACCGCTGCCATATAGCTGGAATATTGCTGAGTGCGGCATAAAACTAAACTCACTCACTGAGATCTCCAGCGGGTGGTGGGCTAGTCCAGGGATTAAAGCGTTCGCACGTCACGCTGAAGCCCCCTACATAGACATAGTGTGTGAATCCCATTTCTGGTTTCCTCCACTGTCAGATTGCTGGAATATTGTGAAAAGCGTCGTGAAACTAAACTCACCCACTCTAAAGACTTTAGTTCAGCTTGTTGACATCAGAGAGCGCGAAAATGACGAAGGAGGGACGTTTTGGACTATAGAGAACACTACATTGCTTTCAGAGAGAAGTGTTGGACAAGGAGAAAACGTCAGTAGCTCTAGTAAGTACATATCCCTTTTGACCCGGGTTGGAATTGGTCTTCAGCCACCCATACTTGTCGTAAGAGGCGATTAGTTGTTGCGTTGTGTTGTATCTCCGAGCTGAGAAGTCGGTTAATCTGCTGATCAGCTGCCGTGTTGAATATCATTGACAAAACGTTCACTTTAGCGATACATACATGTGTACAATTGAATGAGTGAGTTAATATTTAACGTCACATCGGCAATATTGCAGCCATATCGTGACTAGAACATATTTGACATTGAAATGGAATATATGTAAATTATAAAAACCTGTCGACGAAGGACAGTAAAAGAACTAGAATATCACAATTAAAATTAAAACTAGCGTGGAAAGTTAAAATTAATAGCACTATTTGGACAATACAATATAAAAACAGGCTATAGATCTGAAGGTAAATCACCATACCAGGGACTATGGGGACTTACAGTCCCTTTGCTACCTGCATGGATCCTAGTTGGATTTACACCATCCCTTCAGCTGCTGGCGATTGGCAGAAATGTTAGCCACAATTAAAATATGAATACTACGTTTAAAAATCCTGATAAGCTTTAAGTGATTTTGAAAATTGGGGGACTTACGTACCCTCTCAGGAGGACCATAATATTACAATACTTCAACCCCCCTTGAGGGTACAGCCACTAACAAGGGTTGCTATGGATTTCTTGCAACACCATAATGTTGACTTACTGCCTTGGCCTGCAAATTCACTGGATCTCTCCCCGATAGAGCATGTTTGGGACGAGATGGATCGATGTCTACGCCGTCTTCCTCATCCGCCAGACAACGTCCCTGACCTTCAACAGAACTTGAGAGAATCTGGCGTGACATTCCGCAAGCCTTCCTTGTTTGATAGGCTCTCTGCGTCGTCGATGCACTGCTGTTCTCAATGCCGATGGTGGCCATACCCGTTATTGAGCTTGTGATATGGTCGTTTAACCCCTGTCCCGCTTGTGGACTCGTGACGTCATTGTGATTGACTTTCAATTGAAATTCTCCCGACTTGTTATGGTCTGATGATCCCTCCATTAAAGTTTATATGTACCTTTGACATTGTTATCGTACTTATCAACTGGGATAATATTTTGACAATGCACAGTTTCTTTATGTGGCTAGTATATTATCATATGGGGCTTTTGTCTGTGGGGCTTCGGTCCTGTGGGGATTTTGGCATGCAATCTTTAAGCCGGATCGGTAAACTGCAGTGTATATACAGCAATTATGAAATGTATACCCCGACGTGCTTGGCGCCTTCTCACCACGTGAACATACGTCCCATAGCTTTTGAGAAATTGTGTGAAGTAGGTACTTTATATGCGTATTAAAGTATGCCAAATATGATCGCCAGTTTGAACTAAACTTGACAAAGCTGAATTTTGATTCAAGTTGGTGCTTAGATACTAATGCTCATGAGTATATAGTAAAGACATCCATCTATATATCTTAGACGGACTCCAGCTTCAAAATTACTCTCGTAGTTCACACGTGACGATCCGGGTTAGAATTGGCCTTCTGCAAACGGTATTCGGAAAAAAAGAAAAGGAAAAAAAGAAATTATTTTTGCTAGGAAAAAATGAAAAATGAAAAAATACTTTTTCCATACTTTATTACGTGTGTATCTCATACTACATGATAATAAGCAAACTTTAGTAACAGATGATGGTTTTAAATGTTAGCTAATCCCTTGTTAGTGGTACCCACAATGAGAAGCCAGTGAGAAGCCAATGAGAAGCCAAGGTAACTCATTAGCTATTCAGCTACTCACCAATTACTTAAAAGTCTTATAATGTCTTGATTAACTGGTACATGTTGATACAAGAAACAGGTTCCCTTGTACAATACCTAACATCAAAGACCCCAATCCAAGCTGGATACTCATGGTAATACCACTTCTTATACTCGTTAGACAAAATGTTGGTGAGTTTTTTTTGCCAATTATACTCACAACTTCATAAAAATATGTTACCTACACCAATTTCCCCCATTTTTTTTCTTTTTGTCCTTTTTCTTTTTTTCCCTTACTTTTTTCTGCTTTCTTTTTTCCTTTTTCTGTTTTTCCTACATCTGCAATCTATGCTTGTCGTTAGAGGTGACTATAAGGATCGGGTGGTCAGGCTCGCTGACCTGGTTGACAGACGTAATCGTATCCCAACTGCATAAATCGATGCTCATGATGTTGATCACTAGATTGTCTGGTCATGACTTTGTTATTTACAGACGGCACCATATAGCTGGAGTATTGCTGAGAGCACCGTTAAACAACAAACAAAAACAAACAACCCAGTTCAAGTTACCATTATTGTTTACTTATCCGCCCATAGGAATCCAATGCGGCATAAAATAATCTTCTTTCACGAACTGACTTTCCAGCCTCCCTCCGGGTTTGGGATAATCTTTATAGTACACCGTGTGCCCATTTATCAGCCATGCCGCCCACCATCCAAACGTCCCAACCGTCATTATCATATGATCAGACAAAACCAGAGTCCCGAAGTCCACGAACGGGTTCGTGGTGGTCATCAAGATCATATCTTCAGAGTCCAGATTCCGCCGGCACCAGTCCTTATCATCCGTGGCTATCAAGAACACTGGATTACGAAACCTCTCCCTCATATGTTGAACAGCTTTGTATATGTACGAAACTGGGGCTTCGGTATAACCGTGTTCGTTTTGTGCCGTCATATCAGTCCGACGTACATGCAGTCCTATCACTGTGCGATTCTTGAACGGGGATGTGTAAAGATGAAATATCTTTCTCCGTAGCATTTCATATAGATCTGAAAAACTGAACTCTTTAATAATTTGTTCTCTAAACGGTTCAAAATACTTCCAGGATTGGAGAAAGTGCCCCATGACATAATTTCCAGCTGGCAGATTTTCGAATTCAGGCGAATAGCCGGCATATTTTCTTTCAGAAATGTGAAGCCAATATTTCGTATCCCAATTTTCAACGAAAGACAGATTGAACACTGTGTTTAAGGTATTATCCGGGTTGATAAACGGCCTCTTCCCGTTACGGAAAGCTATACCGAGCAGAGAAGCATACTCAAACATGAGATTACCCAAGCGCCCAAAGGATTCAACCGTCAGCATGTCGCCATTCGGATCTCTTGTCCGCCATCTTGAAAAAGTACTGTCCACAAAACTGTCATTTACAGATATGTTGTTTTCTGGTACGTTAATCCCAGTCTCGGATGAAACCAACTTTGGAGGAATTGCCAATTGTGTATTCATCTTTGACCGAAAACCCATAGGTTGAACATTAGTCTCCTTCGAAATAGTATGGTATGCAAAGATTAAAAATATGGTAGTCAACAGAAGAGTTGCTACCATTCGCATATAGTTCATGGCGTTGGATTTTATTGTTTCTAGGTGCACGTTCATTAAGCTGTTTCATGTAACAATATACACATCATCTGGCTTTACACTAAAGGGGTCAGTGCTGATCAATTTTCTTCAACGGAATTCCGCAGAAGAGCTGACTGAAACAGATAAAGTAATCATTAGGCGTTGAGTGAGTTTAGCTTTGCGCCGCCTTTAGCACAATTCCGGTAATATCGTGGCGGGGGACATCAGGAATGGGCTTCACACATTGTACCCATGTGGAGAATCGATCCCCGGGTCTTCTGAACGAGTGAACGCTTTAACCACTAGGTTCCCCGCCGCCCCGAAATAACCATTAAACACATTGGAAGTGATTCTGTGTCCTAACAAAGCATTTTTTATACGTTTGTTTCCATTTCCCTTCTACAATAGACCAAGTCCATTCCCTACGTCTTCCTCACTGGCTGGTGTGTGTGTGTGTGTGTGTGTGTGTGTGTGTGTGTGTGTGTGTGTGTGTGTGTGTGTGTGTGTGTGTGTGTGTGTGTGTGTGTGTGTGTGTGTGTGTGTGTGTGTGTGTGTGTGTGTGTGTTAGCCTAGTGGAAAGCCCGGGTTCGATTCCCGACATACAATGTGTGAAGCCCATTTCTGGTGTATGCGAAGCGGCGTAAAAGCATACTCACTCACTCACTCACTCACTCAAAACCCACCCACCCACTCTCCTACTTTGTCAATGAATTAGCAATGCAAATTGTAAATAATTGCTCTACACAGTAACTAAAAAGCGCAAACTTTACAGATAAACAAATATGCTCTGTGAAACGGCATATGGCTGAGTGTGAAAGGATTTTGAGCGAGTTAACGATCTTAATTTCCGATTCAAGGACATCAGCTTTAAAACCATGCTTGTCGTTGAAGGCGACTTGGTCAGGTCGTGTAGTCAGGAACGGTTTCTTGGCTGAAGGCATCCCAGTTGCGTCTACGTGATCTCAGTCACTGGATTATGTGATCGACAATCGATTTTTTACAGCCAATCGTGATACAGTAAAAACTCCACATCAGACCTATAAGCTGTGTTCCAGGAACAAAACATTATCTCAACGCCATGTTAATAGATTCGACACAATTTCGACATAAACGTAGATTTTCGGGCGACTTATTTGTCTGTTGCTACAATGTCAAACGGAAATTTCGTTAAGTTTATGGTAACACATGTTATATTTGGGATTGCATTTTCTCAATAAAGTACAGATTCTGGTACTTTCATTGGGCATTGTTGTATGTAATGGTAATAGTCCGCTAATATGGCGCTCATATCCATGCACGTTGTCTGCCCACGGCGCTACGTACATTACTTTATTACCCACGTGGTCAACGTATGGGTAGTTGCATACTAATCTCGTACGTCACACGGGTGTCGTATCACGTTGACCTTTGTCCTAACGACTTGACCTAAGCTTCTAACGATTTGATTGGATAACCGATGACCTCTCAATTAGGTCACATTCTGACGTAACTATTCTTTCATTCATAACAAACACGTGATGAATTCATTCTACAACTTAAATGCATTGTGGGAAAGTAAACATTGCGAACGTTGCCGTGTCGCTGTTTAATTGTGAGTCGAACTGAGACATTATATCCGTCGAAAAACGTAAAGGCAATGTTTCCACCAGTGATGTTAGCCGAATGAAGCAACTGCAAACCAAGAAACGGGGTGCTACGGAGTAGTTTACTGTAGGAGGCTGTACGAGGCGATGACAACTGACATGCATCGTGACGTCGGTTACCAGGGCAGTGACGTCATTACAGTGTGACGTCATGCAGCTATTGTACTACAGTACAAAACTCTTCCGCAACCTCTTTATGAAACTGGTTTCGGTTTGAAACCATCAAAATATCAAAAATAAGCTATTTTGTCAATTTAATGCATGTAAGACGTAGGTAATAAATAAAATACCACACTCGGTATCATTACATACGAATTATACGAAACTCGTGATACCATAGGAAGGACACTCGTTTCGTATTATTCGTATGTAATGAGACCTCGTGTTTTATTCTCTATATCCCCGGTCATAAGACACATATTTTAGTACTTGTGTTGGGATGAGTCCCATCTCGGATTCCAACTCACCCCTTTAGATTCAGGCACATAATTGCCAGCATAAATGGAGCTCAGTAGTGCATTGGTAAGGCGTCTGCCTATCACGCTGAAGGCCCGGGTTCGATCCCCGGTTGAGGCACCTATAGGTTCAGGTTCCGAGGTGGGCACATCTGCGAAGTATGCTTGGACAAGATACTTAGATCCACATTGTCTCAGTTCACCCAGCTGTAAAATGGGTACCTGTGAGGATGTGCTGGCAATGTGAGTGTTTAGTTCATTGTGCCTAACAGGCAGCATGGCTGTATGATCCCCAGGGAGTTGAAAAAAGTATCGGAAAGTACGATAGTGTCCTATAGTAATGTACGTGGCGCCGTGAGCAAGGAATGTGCCTGAATATGAGCGTCATAAAAGCGGACTAATACTATTACATACAAAGTCAGCCCTCTAGCCCACTCTGCCAGCACGACTACTACAAACAATGTTGGACAACTGGAAGTCTAGATCACAGACTTTGTGTACCCCTCTTACAAGTGGAAATTATGAATACACAATGCCAAACAAAAGTACCAGAATCTGTACTTAATTGAGAAAGTGTAATCTCAAATATAACATGCGTTACATTTGACCACTTTCTAAATGACATTGTGTATTCTTGCTTAGGATACATTAAAAAAAGACGCATGTGAAAAATATAACGTCAATGCCAGACAATAACCAGTCTCGGTTATCATCCGAAACAGATCCAATAGGGCGCTCGGGTGTGCCTCTGCATGAACGGATTGGTAATGACAGCGGGTGTCATCCAAAGAGGTTAGCATGTTCTGTTATATCGAAAACAATGACTGCTCACAAAATTTGCATCAAAAAGGTAAGTGTGTCGGTCTTTGTTATCATCATGATCCTTGAGATAAGCGTACAGCTTCGGAAACACGTGCACAATTATGCATGTAAGTCACAAAAAATTACTTAAGTCGTTTTGTATTTTTAAAACAATCCTCTAAATATCTGCTATGTATTTTCTTTTGTAACTAAGATTTTTAGACTCACTAAAAACATTCTCTCATGAATGTATAATAACTTTGGGATGCTTTTTCAGCAGTTAATTCATACGTGTATTGTCAAAGTAACCCCTCCCACTCACTCACTCTATCTATCTATCTAAATATGGATAGATCAATCTACCTATATAACTCTCGCTCGCTCTCTCACTCTCACTAAAGTAACACAAACCCTCCCCCCTCTCTCGCTCTCTCTCTCTCTCTCTCACTCTTTGTCTCTCTCTCTCTCACTCACACACAAACACAAAAATAAAACACAAGCACCCCCACCCCCTCTAAAATAGCAAGTGGTTGGTCCTTAGCACCAGGAACGTGTATAATGATACTCACAGTGTCTACAGTCCATGTCCAACCGTTGCCAAGGTACAGTGACTCACTGAAACTTATGAGCCTGCTATGTACCCATGCTCCGGCAGATGACAAAGACGCAGCTCTGACATACACGCAGCTGTCGATGATGCTGTCACGATGTTCACGCAGCTGTTGATGCTGTGATGGTAGAAGTGCCTTTAGTTTAGAGTTATGGATTTATAGTCTAGTAACGTGTATTAAGTTTCATCACCTGGATGTGCCCGTGTCAAACTACATAGTCTGTGAAGGCCTTGGACACTTGAATCCACATGCTGGTCCATAGACTAACCTCTGAATATATATTTGGATATAAAAAATAATTCATTTTAAATTGAAACTGAGCCCCAGTGAGATGAGAAATTCTGCCAAGTCTGAACCTGAGGAAAATCTAGACTCGCTTCATTTAGGTGAGGTGAGGTGAAATTTGGTTTAACGTCGTGCTTGAGAATATTTCGCTCATATGACGACGTGCATGTGTGTATGTGTATGTGCGGCTGCTTGTACTAGCCCAGACTGAAGCTGGTTTTATACTGCTAGCCCACTGAGATACCATGCCGCAGTGAAGAATGAATACCCCACTCACACACATTATACTGACTCCGAGCCGACCAGTCCTTGTTGTACCCATTAATGCCGAGCGCCAGGCAGGGACCAACAAGTACCCTATTTTAACGTCTTTTGGTATGACTCGGTCGGGGATCGAACTCGCGACCTTCCGCTCTCCGGGCGGACGCTCTAACCACTACACCACGGAGGCGGTCGCTTCATTTAGGGCTTTAGCATGGCAGATAGGGCTATGAAAATAATGCGGTTCAGGAATTGACTAACTGGTTAACATTGTTTTATAATATGTACTTCCCATCAAAGGTTTAGAGTCACTAGAGTAAATATAGCCACTTACCTCAGGCAGGTGTTCTAAACTATATGTTGCAAAATATTCCATACTGTTTAAAGGCACTGTTTACACTTGAACTGATGTATTGTAAAACAAATTCGTGCAGTTCAAAAGATTAATGTCTTGAGTTTAAGAAATGATAAAACTCGGTGAAAATTGGCGAATTCTTAACAAAACTTAACACTAAAACGCAGCTGTTCACATGCATGATATTCGCACATGCTTTCAGCAATTTGATGATTGATCATCGTGCAATTTATCTGCATAAGGTTTGCAGTTGGTTACTCCAAGTTAGTGGAGAAATTCATCTTCGATGTAAACATGCATTTATACATAACATATAGTGGGTGTTTTCAGTGAGTCCAAACCTCAAAGGGGGAGTACAGAACAAACGTTATGGATAACAACTTCATTTATTCGTGAGTGTGAGTGCAACGTTTCGATACAGATTCTTGTACCGTTGTCAAGCAGATTCTTGTACCGTTGTCAAGCAGGAATCTGTATCGAACCGTCGCACTCACGAATAAAAAAAGTTGTTGTCCATAAAGTTTGTTCTATATTGTACTTCCCAACTTCTAGAATGCCACTCAAAGAAATTGTTGTTTTTAAATATTTGTATTCGAATATATAAATATATTATTACAGGGAAGAGACCCAGGCCAAGGTATCAGGGGTCTATGAAATAGTGAGTGAGTTTAGTTTTACGCCGCACTCAGCAATATTCCAGCTATATGGCGGCTCTCTGTAAATAATAGAGTCTGGACAAGACAATACAGTGAGCATCATGCGCATCCATCTACGCAATTAGGATACGATGACATGTGTTAACCAAGTCAGCGAGCTTGACCACCGATCCCGTTAGTCGCCTCTTACGACAAGCATGGGTTACTGAAGACCAATTCTAACCCGGACCTTCATGGGGAGACAAGCATGGGTTACTGAAGACCAATTCAAACCCGGACCTTCACGGGGAGACAAGCATGGGTTACTGAAGACCAATTCAAACCCGGACCTTCACGGGGAGACAAGCATTGGTTACTGAAGACCAATTCTAACCCGGACCTTCATGGATAGACAAGCATGGGTTACTGAAGATAAATTCTAACCCGGATCTTCACGGGGAGACAAGCATGGGTTACTGAAGACCAATTCTAACCCCGATCTTCACGGGGAGACAACCATGGGCTACTGAAGATCAATTCTAACCCGGACCTTCACGGGTGCTCACACTAAGCACCAGTACAGCTCACTGTTTGGATGTATGTTCGCAAATGTAAGAAGATTATGTTTCTAGAAATAAAAATATGATGAAACAGCTGAGAGGCGTAGTTTCTTTTGTCCCTCAGTTTTGTTCAGCGGTAGTTAGAGTGAGGTCCCCAGCTAACAGGCGGTCATATGGATTGGGCTGCTTGCCGTGGCTGATATCTGCCTTTGAACTGTTTAACCCATTCAGGATTATGAACAACAGATGATACATCGCTGCGAGCTGGTTTAAACAGCAATGAAACAAACAACATGACCTTGAATTTGTAAACACCAATGTGAGTGAGTGAGTATGGTTTTACGCCACTATTAGCAATATTCCAGCAATAGCACTCCGGGGGACACCAGAAATGTGTTTCACACATTGTACCCATGTGGGGAATCGAACACAAGTCTTCGTCGAGACGAGCGTTAACCACTAGGCCACCCCACCGCATTGTAAATAAATCCTTCATTCATGTGTGTGCCTCTTCGCCATCACGGTCGTCATCGTCAACGTCAAGACTGAAGTTCTGAACATGACTCAGTTTAATCAAATCCTTCAGTGTAACATCCACGGGGATGGTCTCTATCACAAAAGGCAATCTTGGTCCAAGTAAAGTTCTGATCTTGAAACAGCAAAGCTCCAACAAAGACCTTGGTTCCGAAAATCTCTCTCTAATTAATCCCACCATCCCTTCCAGGTCTTCATCTAACCAATACAGATCCCTCTCAACAAACGAGTCTTTTGCTATGACGTCATATCCGGCTTCTATGAGGGTTTGAAGAGCAAGAAACTGTCCGCGAGCAATCAAATTATCAACGAAAGGTTTCTCCATATGATTTGTGTACAGCAAATCCAAAGAGGCATTTCTCTCAATCGCCAGATAATACACGATATCAACTTTACCATATAAGGATGCAGTGAAAAGAGGGGTTGCACCAGACGTATTGCGCATGTTCAGATCAGCACCACGTGAGCAGACGAGACGAATGAGGTTGAGGAAATCTTCGGGATGTCTGTAATCGGGATAGCGTATGTCTTCTTCAGAAGAAAAAGCATCACGCCCAGGGAAATCAAGGACGAGGAGAAAAAGAGGACTTCTTCCATATTTGTCACGTGCATTGACGTCAGCACCACGTGACAGAAGAACGTCACACATGTCCATTTGACGAGGTCCTGGCGCCTTGACCGCAACATGGAGAAGTGAAAACTAGTCAAGCGACGAATGAGGCATGTTCACGGACGCTCCCGCCTTGACAAGATAGTCCACGACGTCAACACGACCTCCGCGCACTGCAGCGTACAGTATAGTCTCGTTGTTGTTGTCACGTGATTCTACATCGACGTGATAGACTTCAACCAGCGTTCTGACCGCGTCCAGATGTCCACTGGCGCAGACTTCACGTATAGGCCATGGGCTGGAGGTGCTCAAGTTCAGGTAAAAGGCCTGGTGCCCCATGTCAAGGAGGGCGGTCATGATCTGGACATGGCCCGACCTGGCTGCCATACAAACTGGTGACGTCAGAGATCCGATATGCGATCGCTGGGCGACTGTCAGTTTACCTTGTTCCAGCTGAACCTTTTCAAACAGCTGAATTGTGATTTTCATGCGACGAATGTATTGGAGAACCTTTTCAACATCGCCCTTGTGAATCAGCTCGTTGAGTCTTTTCCAGTTGTTGAGGTATGATGAGCTGATTGGCGATCCGAAAAAGGATAGGAAGGTAGCCATCTTGTATCGGTAACGGGAGGTGTGTCCAGCTGGTGCCTCCGTAAGGCGATAGCATTATCTGATATTATCTGTTTGCGTATCACCTGATGTCACCTGAGCTAAAGTAGGTAGTGTTTGGCCTTGACAGTCTGGGTTGATGGTAGTGGGAGTAGTGAACTTTGTGTGCGTATGTGTGTGTGTATGTTTTATATCATTATTATACTTTTCAGTACCGAAATATGTCTTATCTGTGTTTTGAACAAAGAAGTGTACATATATACATACAAATGACGTGTTGTTTTTTTCCAGTACGACCCGTGAAGGTCCGGGTTAGAATGAACCTTCAGTAACCCATGCTTGTCGTAAGAGGCGACAAAAGGGATCGGGTGGTCATTCTCGCTGGCTTGGTTGACACATGTCATCTGTTCCCAATTGTGCAGATCGATGGTCACGCTGTTGATCACTGGATTGTCTGGTCCTGACTCGATTCTTTACAGACCGCCGCCATACAGCGGGAATATTACTGAGTGCGGCGTAAAACTTAACTCACTCACTCACTCACTAACGAAACTTAAATTTGGAAGGTTGAGAAAAGCGATATCTTACTGCGGAGACAGAAATTGTTCATTGCAGTGAAAATATCACTTTGTCGGAAGTACGTCATGGATTAAGTTTGGTCCATCTTGTTACGCAACACAATAAAGGCAATGTAACCATATGCATTTCACGAAATGCCCTTGGTCATCGGATGACCATCCAGCGAAGAAGGGACGTTAGGGTAGCCTAGTGGTTAAAGCGTTCACTTGTCACGTCGAAGACCCGGGTTCAATTCTCCACTTGGATACAATGTGTGAAGCCAATTCCTGGTGTCCCCCACCGTGATATTGCTGGAATATTGCTGAAAGCTGCGTAAAACTAAAACTCACTCACTCACTCACTCCAGCGAAGAAAACTTGCACCGATCAGCTAATCGCCGGGTCATTCAGTGAAGCATGAATACCCCACTAGACACATTATACTGACTCCGAGCCGACCAGTCCTTGTTGTACCCCATTAATGCCGAGCGCCAGACAGGGACCAACAAGTACCATATTTTAACGTCTTTTGGGTATGACGCTGTCGGGGTCATTCAGTACACCGAGTAGACATTTTATGTACAATTGACTTTATTTCGCCCGATTAGCAACGGTCATTACCTGTATGTGTGTGTTCATTGACACTATAAATAGTTTTCACAAATGTTCAATCATTCTCTTCTCTTTCTCTCGGCGCGCCATGTTTGTTTGTGGTTGCTAGGTATTCGTGTTGGAGTTTTGCCAAAAGTATGGAATAACATTGTTATAATGATGGATATTCATAGAATAACAATAAAAAAATAGATAGCAACTGATACAGGTGCGTGGTCTCGGTTTTGTATCATATTTTTCAGTATCGAAATACGCCTTGTCTGTGGTTTTAGTTTACAGTTGGGAGAATTTTGATTTCGTTAATGAAAGTTTCTTGCATGTGTATTGTGAGGTGAGGTGAAATGGGGTTTAACGTCGCACTTAAGAATATTTCGCTCTTATGGCGACGTGCATGCGTGTGTATGTGTGGCTGCTTGTACTAGCGCAGACTTAAGTGCTAGCTCACTGAGATACCATGCCGCAGTTAAGCATGAATATCCCACTCAGACACATTATGCTGACTCTAAGCCGACCAGTCCTTGTTGTACCCATTAATGCCGAGCGCCAGGCTGGGGCCAACAAGTACCATATTTTAACGTCTTTTGGTATGACGCGGCCGGGGATCGAACCCGCGACCTTCCACTCTCCGGGCGGACGCTCTAACCACTACACCACGGAGGCGACGCTTCATTAATCGAAAACCTGGCGGTAAATGATAAAGAGACTTTTCCATGTGTCTCGTGACATTTGAGTGAGTGAGAGTTATTCGTCATGTGTCTCGTGACGAGAACATTTGATATTGTATCTGTCATCGCCGACGTGACATTAAAAAAACGTGAATAAAACATTTTATCCCGGTGGCGTAGACACATGGGGACTTACATTACTTTTGCTACCTGCATGGATCCTAGCTGGATTTACACGCCCTTCAGCTGCTGCGCAACAGTATATTTTAAAATGTCACATCGAACAACATTAATAAGCCTGATCTATATGGACACATACACATCGAACAATGAATGGACACACGTGTGTACGTGTGTGTGTGCGTGCGTGCGCGCGCACACGTTTTAAGATGCATATATGAATGAATTATGGCAATCTGACAATGGACGGGAAACTGACTTGCATCGCAAGGGATACATGCGTACGGGCATGCGCATAACACAATATTTTGCCATGCTTAAACCAAATTGTTTTTTGCACTTAGATTTGTCATTTCATTATTCCATGAGTGTCAGTTTATCCAGATAAAAGTTAAATTGTGGTTCCCTTATTATGGCTAATGATTACATATTGATTCAATGAAAAATATGGAGTGTAGCGGTATTTTATGCCATGTGCATAGTTAGAATACAATGATTCAGTGCACTGGCATAGCCCTTTTCGAACATAAAACATTAATTCAGTGACCTATTTTGACCTCACAACCACACAGGAAGGGAAAGCCTTTTATTATAGAAATACAACCAGGTTGACAGGAAACACGTGTCAGACCAAGGGGAGTTAACCCTGTTTGGCTTGGGCTGCCTTGGCGAGTCTGGTGATTTCAGCGATCTCAGCCTGCAGAGCACACTTGAGGGCATCGGCTTGGTGTCCATTGGTGCAGGACTTGCAGGACTTGGTGATCTTGTTCTCGCATACTTCAGCCTTGCAACGTTCTTCGGCAATGTCTAGGAAAAGGGTAGTATTTAAGAATTATGTAGGTGCCTAATTGCGTGACTGGCAGGCGCTAGGGCCGAATATGCTTACTCTTTTGCGAGCACCTGGTGTCATCTCTGATTTTCAGTCGTCCATTCGCATACTTTTCACACTTATTTTGACATCTCTGATTTTCTAGAAAAGTCCATTCCCGCTAACATCTTTTCACTCTTATTTCTGACATTTGCACGAAATGGAACTTGTTTCTTAAAAAAGTCAAGACTGCGACCTTTGCATCAAATAGAATCTGACACGTCAAGACTGGGCATTTTATTGCACCAATATTTTATGCATACGTGTCGCCAGATTCAATTAATCAACGCAAATATAGTAAGACCAGAAATTATTGAGAATTTTAGGAATATGTTTAATTGGATTTCTAGTATAAACAACCTTGACCAGCTGTAAGTGCTTGGTTTCATTCAAGAGAGACAACTCTGTTAATCATTTTTCATTAGTTATCCCCCTTTGTTTACTTGCTAGCAGACGACATTTTCAGTGATCCTCAGTATAGATGATTTAGAGAAGAGGAAGTTGATTTTAGAGTATTATAACAAGGACAACGGACCAGCTAAATTGATTTCAAGCAGAACAGGCATCCCCTTGTCCACTGTTTATCGTGTTCTGAAAATATTGCAAATGGATATGGCCCAGAAAATTGACTGTCGGTGACAGGAGGCGGCTTTCTAAAAACAAACGAAGGAGTTTAGAAAACTTAAGGCTGGATATGATTGATAGAGGAACTGTGGCTGTCTGTATGGAGACAATTAGAATTGAGCTGCATGCAATGGGTTGGCAGAAACGTCGAGGAATTCCATCACCGATCATGAAACCTGAACAAAAAAGAGCGATGGTGCTTACAGCATAGAAATTGTAACTGGGACAATGTGATTTTCTCAGATGAAAGTTCTATGTGGCTGTTTCCTAATACACTGAAATTCTGGACCAAACAAAATGAAAAATCTTTGTATCAGCGCCCAAAGTACAGTCCGAAATTTAAGGTATGGGGTGGCATATCTGTGTTAGGGGCAACGCCCCTCTGTGTATTTGAAGGGAATATGAACAGTGAGCGGTACACAGATATACTTGAGGGACATTTATTTCCATCTGCTCACGTGTTCTATGGAAATTGTTGGATTTTCCAGCAGGACAAGGACCCAAACCATCGTTCAAAGCATTCACAGGCCTGGTTTCGGGCCCAAAATAGGACATTATTAGATTGGTCAAGCTATAGCCCTGACCTTAATCCAATAGAAAATGTTTGGGGACTTATGAAGGAAAGTGTCAATACGAAAAATCTGACAAATACTGCTGAAATGAAAGAAGAGGTGGTCCGATATTGGGACAGCATGGACCACGACTTTCTATCTTCTTTGATGAGTAGTATGCCCCGCCGCACTGAAGCCTGCATTGCTGCCCATGGTGACTTGACAAAATAGTAACTGTTCACCTGTCTTTGAATCTGGAGTTATGTTCTGCTAATATTCACATTTAATACGTGAGTAATGAGTGAAAAAAAATAAATTAAATTCTCAATAATGTCTGGTTATTGTTTGGTACTGGTATATGGTTGATGACATAGAGCTATGGAGAGTGAGTGAGTTTTTACGCCATTTTTAGCAATCTTCAAGCAATATCACGGCAGGGTACATCAGAAATGGTCTTCACGCATGCTACTAATACGGGGAATCGAACCCGGGTATTCAGCGAACGCTTTAACCACAAGGCTACCTCACCGCCCCATAATCACCTTACAAAGATCAACATTGCATGGCCTTAAACCCCGATTTCATTTCCCAGTAGTACTGTGTTCACGGCAGTTACATACAAGAACATCAGACTCCAGATGTCAGACACTAGACGCCAGAGGTCAGATGTCAGACACCAGATGTCAGACACTAGACGTCAGATGTCAGACACCAGACGCCAGATGTCAGACACTAGACGCCAGATGTCAGACCCCACACCTCAGATATCAGACACCAAACGCCAGATGTCAGCCAGTAGACGCCAGATGTTAGACACCAGACGCTAGATGTCAGACACCAGACGCCAGGTGTCAAACAGAAGACAACAGATGTAACACACAAGACGTCAGATGTCAGACACTAGAAGCCAGATGTCAGACACTAGACGCCAGATGTCAGACACCAGACGCCAGATGTCAGACACTAGACGTCAGATGTCAGACACCAGCCGCCAGACAGCAGACGCCAGATGTAAGACACAAGACGTCAGATCTCAGACAGCAGACGCCAGATGTCAGACACCAGACGTCATATGTCAGACACCAGACGTCAGATGTCAGACACCAGACGCCAGATGTCAGACCCCAGACCCCAGATGTCAGACACCAGATGCTAGATGTCAGACACTAGACGCCAGATGTTAGACAGCAGACGCCAAATGTCATACACATAACGCCAGATTTCAGACACTAGACCCCATTTGTCATACATTAGACGCCAGATGTCAGACACCTGACGCTAGATGTCAGACACCAGACGCCAGATGTTAAACAGCAGACGCCAGATGTAAGACACAAGACGTCAGATGTCAGACACTAGAAGCCAGATGTCAGACACTAGACGTCAGATGTCAGACAGCAGACGCCAGATGTCAGACACTAGACGCCAGATGTCAGACACAGGCGCCAGACAACAGACGCCAGATATCAGATGTCAGACGCCAGATGTCAGACACCAGACGCCAGATGTCAAGCAGCAGACTCCAAGTGTAAGACACAAGACGTCAGATGTAAGACACAAGACGCCAGATGTCACACACCAGACGTCATATGTCAGACAGCAGACGCCAGATGTTAGATGTCAGATGTCACACACAATTTGTCAGATGTCAGACACCAGACGCCAGATGTCAGGCAGCAGACGCCAGATGTCAGACACAAGACATCAGATGTCAGACAACAGACGCCAGATGTCACACACCAGACGTCAGATGTCAGACACCAGACGCCAGATGTAAGACACAAGACGTCAGATGTCAGACACTAGAAGCCAGATGTCAGACACTAGACGTCAGATGTCAGACAGCAGACGCCAGATGTCAGACACTAGACGCCAGATGTCAGACACAGGCGCCAGACAGCAGACGCCAGATGTCAGACACTAGACGCCAGATGTCAGACACCAGACGCCAGATGTCAAGCAGCAGACGCCAGATGTAAGACACAAGACGTCAGATGTCAGGTACCAGACGCCAGATGTCAGACACTGGACGCCAGATGTCAGACACGGAGTGCCAGATGCCAGACACAAGACGCCAGATGTCAGACACTAGACGGTGGATGCCAGACACTGGACGCCAGATGCCAGACGCCGGACGTCAGACACCGCAAGCTGGAAACGCTGTCACACATGGGCTTTGGTGATTCGAGCCCGGGCCACTGGCGTGACGAGCGAATGCTGTAACTACTGGGCTACCTGGTCTGTCAACAGGGGCGTCTGAGAGTGTTGTACTTACGCTTGATGAGGAATCTCTTTCCAAAGTGCAGGCTGCACTTGTGCATGTTGTAGTTTAACACAAGCTGTGTTCCATCAAGAGGGATCTGAAAACACACACAAAAATAACAGTACTCAGCAGGTGACGACCCGTGAACATCCGGGTTAGAATTGATCTTCAGCAACCCATGCTTGTCGCAAGAGTGAGTGAGTGAGTGAGTTTAGTTTTACGCCGCACTCAGCATTATTCCAGCCATGTGGCTGCGGTCTGTAGCTTGATTATTTACAGACCACTTCCCTAACGCTAACGCGTACGGTTTTTAAATTACATTTAGCGGTCTTAAATCAACGATAAAGGACCGCAAAATTGAAAACAGAGTAGCTTTATCTTCTAATTACGACGGAGGACACCACAAATGGTCTTCACACATTGTGCCCATGCGGAGGACCATTTCTGGGGTCCCTCGCTGTGATATTGCTGGAATATTGCAAAAATATTGCGGCGTAAAACCATACTCACTCACTAATAAGCTGTGACAGCGCAGTTCAAGACAGCGTCAAACTAGTTTGTGATTTCCACCCAAAAGGGTTAGAAAGCAGAAGAATTCCAATTATTTTAGGTAATCCTGCCTAGATTCGAGATAACTAATGGCCTTTAAATATGGCACTTGTTTTAATTCAGGAGAAATAGAGGAAGTCATCGAACGACAACTGAAGTGGAAGACCTGAAATAACACGTGACATAAATACGTCTGGATCGAACTATTGTCCTATATAGGACATTACCACTTTGAAACCTTTACGTCAAAATACAACTCAGAAATATGCTCTTTTTATTAAGCAGCGTTCCCTGACTACCTCTAATTTAAGTACTCTTCGTTGACTTACTCATTATTACTACCTAGATTCAATGCATTCGTGTTACTTACTGTGCCAGTCTTGCCATTGAAGAAAGCAGCCACGTTTCCGATAAACTTGCCGATGAGTTTGTCGACACCAAGTTTGTCCAGCAACAACTTGGACAAGATAGGCTCAGCGGCGGCCAGGGCAGCCACAATTTGTCTCTTGGCCTGCTCGCCATGAGCAACCACCAACATGGACAGGATCAGGGTAACTGGAAAAGGGAAAGAAAGGAATCAACTGACGTGACCCACTGGGTGTGGACATCGACACAATCAGGGCAACTGGGGAATGGAAAGAATCGAATCAACTGACATAAACCACTGACATGGACATCGACACAAGCAGGACAACCTGGGAAAGAGAAAGAATGGAATGAACTGACGTGACCCACTAGTTGTGGACATCGACACAACCAGGGCATCTGGGAAAGAGAAAGAATGGAATCAACTGACGTGACCCACTAGTTGTGGACATCGACACAATCAGGGCAACTTGGGAGAGAGAAAGAATGGAATCGACCAACAAGTCGAGGACATCGACAGAATCAGGGCATCTGGCTTAACAGTAAGGTGAGGAACCTTTGACACCACGAAAGTTATCACTGACACCATTGACAGAATGTTTGTATAACTTATAAGTCTCAATCAAAACAGTTTTCAAAATATTTACGTTGTTTTTCCCTTAATCAATCATTAATTCCCAAACCACAGGAGTGTACTGTTTGTGCACGTCAGTTACGATGCCCTTTGAAGATGAAGACTAGAATCATTTTAGCGACCCGTCCGGGTTTGAACTTCGAAGTAAGAACTGGTTTTCAGCAGCAAATTCTTGCATCTATTAAACCTCCTAGTAAAGTCTGGTTTCTGGCAACAAATGCTTGCCTTTATTAAACCTTCTAGTAAGAACTGGTTTTCAGCAAAAATTCTTGCCTCTATTAAACCTCTTGGTAAAATCTGGTTTTTAAAACAAATCCTTGCCTCTAGTAAACCTCCTAGTAAAATCGGTTGTTTAGCAACTAATTCTTGCCTCTATTAAACTTCTTAGTAAGATCTGGTTTTCAGCAACTAATGCTTGCCTCTATTAAACCTCCCAGTAAGAACTTGGTTTCAGCAACATGTGCTTGCCTCTAGTAAACTTCCTAGTAAGAACTTGGTTTCAGCAACATGTGCTTGCCTCTAGTAAACCTCCTAGTAAGAACTTGGTTTCAGCAACTAATGCTTGCCTCTATTAAACCTCCTAGTAAGAACTTGGTTTCAGCAACTAATGCTTGCCTCTGTTAAACCTCCTAGTAAAACTTGGTTTCAGCAACTCCTAGTAAGAACTTGGTTTCAGCAACATGTGCTTGCCTCTAGTAAACCTCCTAGTAAGAACTTGGTTTCAGCAACTAATGCTTGCCTCTATTAAACCTCCTAGTAAGAACTTGGTTTCAGCAACTAATGCTTGCCTCTATTAAACCTCCTAGTAAGAACTTGGTTTCAGCAACTAATGCTTGCCTCTATTAAACCTCCTAGTAAGGACTGGTTTTCAGCAATCCATGTTTGTCTACCGCGGAGATTTGGTTCAAAACTGGTCGTAAAAAGCCCCAACGGGATATGGGTGGTGACGCTCTCTGACTTAGTTGTGCCTGCCATTGTGTCCCTGTTGGGTGGATCGTTGCTTATAATGATGATATTAGCTTGTCCCCACCATTATTTACAGACCGCCGTCAAATAGCACGAATACTGCTGAATATTGCTGAATTCGACGTTAAACAAAAAACAGTCTACACACATCAAACTGGTCGATAAACCATTGTATCAGAATCCATGGAAAGAAGCAACCGATAATCTACGCTATTCCTCCGACAGATTAAAAATATGGTCAGTTCTCCACGGGATTGTATACAACACGTTTATGCCTTAGTATTGGGATCCATTGCAAATAAACCGGAATGATTAGGCCACAATAAATGTTTGTTTGTAGGTTTGTGTTTTTAACGCCGCAGTTTCCCAGCTACTTCAAGTCGGTCTGCAAATCACCGACAATTTGGACCAGACAATCCAGTTATTGAAATGATGAGTATCGATCTACGTAACTGATCGTGTACCTGAACCAAGTAATCGATCCTGACCAACCGATCCCGATATTCGCCTCTTTCGACTAAATCTAGCCATGACCTTCACAAGAGAGTCTCAAGGTCGCTGTAGGCTTATTCTAACCGGAACTTCACGTGAGACCAGTTGTAACCAGTAGGGGTGGGTATTGCAGAGAATTTTCATATTGCGATATATTGCGATGCGAAAGCATGTATTGCGATATGTATTGCAATATATTGCATGAAGTATTTTTAAACAAAAACTACTTATAATCGAGTTACTTCTTGGTTTATAGAGCAAAAATACAACAAATCACTAGGCTTGATTAAGCTTTAAAAACAACTTTTAATGATGAAAAAGTAAAAATATGAATAATATTTGGCACAAATGAAACAAGGACGTATCCGAACATTTCCGAGTGTTACGAAGTTTTCCGAATGTAAGTAAAAATACCGGTTTTCGATCAGCGTATCGCAATACGTATCGTTTTCATGTCTGAACAGGTAAATACCGGTAAACCGGTTATATTGCGCAGCCCTAGTAACCAGTATGTTCACGTGAGACGAGCAACGTTTGCTGAGGACCCGTATCTTCACTGTATGCCAAGAAGGGGAGGACAGTGGAGCAAGTTCTGATTTGCAATATTCGAATATTTTAGGCCGAATCATACAATTAAAAAGCAACAACTTGCGGCTCAAAGCAACACCCATTCACATATTTTAAATATTTTAGGACCTTAACTTACCTGCGATCTTCATCGTGTCAAATAGAAGGGTAACCTTATCGAACACATGTTGAGTTTCTTTATATAAGGTGGTCTGGGGTTAAAATGGGATCGTCTTCTTTATCTACCGTGTGTTTTTCTCTCACACATTTCCCAGTGTGTGTAGCACGAAGTCAAATTAGGCCATGTTTCATAAAGAGATTCCGGTCATGGAAAATCTTGATAAACACGGATTCTTGATTCGTTGAAATGAAAATGAATGGGGTAAAATTAGGTCAAGTAATGTTTTTTTATAACGGTCATTATTTCTGCGTCAAACCCAGTCTCCAAGGTTCCAAGCAAGCCGTGAATCGCTTAGAGTAAGCAAAGTAATTGCTTATACCGGGCTTGTGACTGCCCAAAGCTGCTATCCACTCTTCCAAAATGGAGGAGCGATTACCGTCTGCTCGCCTGGCCCTAGTGAAAGACGTATTAGAAGATTCCCGATGACGAGAGATGAATCTATGATTGTTGATGAGTACATGGAAGATGTGGACAAGCTCAGGATGTTGGGATGTAAGCTGTATTTGTCCGTTTCCCAGCTGATCCTGTGAAAACTGTCCTGTTCAGCTGTCGAATTTAAATTTCATTCAGCCGCCATTTTGGTTCGAGAAAGAAACGACCTCACAGGGGTGGATACAGCTTTTTGAGAAAGGAGTGTGCACACTTTTGAGAAAGGAGGGTGTTGTCATTTAATAAACTTTCAGGACAGACAAAAGGGTGATGGTGCGCACGCTCACACACGCGCACACACACACACACACACAGGGGATCCGTCTATGCCTCAGCATACGATTTGTGCGATTGCAAGCGGCTGAAAATTAGTGCGTTGTAAGGTAAATCGCTGTGAAGTGCTTGCCATCGGTTGGCTGTGTGCAAGGCAAGTGTATGCTTCCAGATACCCAGCATTCTATATGAGGAGAGGCTGAAGGTACAGATTGCAATTTGTATTGGTTGTTTTCATTAAAAGAAACCTATTTATATCTCTTCTTTGATGAAAAATATAGTTGGGTCTATTGATATGATTTCTTAAGTATAAATACTTAATGCATACTAATCATAACGTGATATTCATCCCACACCTGAAATTGTCCTGTA